ATTATCTGTCACTTTTTTACGATATTTGATCATGATCTTTCACGGTTACTTTCAATGAATTTTGAAAGGTCATATCTCCAATAATCGCCAGGTGTCATTACCAATGAAAAGAATTCTGAACTTATTATAATTGTACAATACAAAAAAATGAAATGAGAGTCAGTTTTCTTCAATTCAATATTTCTCGAGTTTAGTCTACCCAATAACTCATTTTTCAAGAATTATGACTTTGAATCTTTCAAACAAAATGATAACTCGTAACCTTTTTGTGAAGAAGTCTTTGATCTCTATGACCCTTGCAAAAATTTCACACGAGACAATGCAATAGGCACGAACCTTTTGTTTTGAAATCTTTGTATCAACTATATTAACAATGGATATTGAGTGGCCAGATGGTTTTTAATTAAGTAATTAAATTAACTAGGCTTTTTTCTATGAGAATCAACTACTCGGAAGTCAGAGCGCATAAACATTGAGTGATTTAGATTGTTCATCTTTTTTCCTTTTACTCTCTTGCAGCAGTTGTGGAGCTCTCATTCTGTGGATGATCCTTCACAATCATACTTATAGTTATAGTCGCAAATTGCACAAAGAATTTCTAATTCATCTGATGAAAAATTTCACGCCGAAAAGCCTCCATCGATACACTCTCTCGCTACATTTCTTCCATACTCTGTTTTTCTCTAGAATGGCTCCCGTTGTAAAAATCCCATGTTTTCCCTTTATAATCGTGGACAGAGGCCATCTTATGGCTCAGTGTCACGGTAGTGACATGCCTTCCTCGGCTTGGCATGACTTTCACAGGCAAAGAAAAATTCATCATCGCAAAAAGCTCCCTTTTTGGCGACAAAACACGATGAGTTCACCTCCTTCTCATGTCCAAATAAATTTTAAACATCACAAAACAAGAGAAGAAAACACAACCTAGTATATATACAAACGAACGAGGAGAGAAAGTTCGCGACGAAACTAGTGAACACATAAATGAAAATTGTGCTAATTTCTAAAATATTATCAAAACTTAAATCACTAAAATTTATGCGGTAACGTAATTAAGATACGAAGATTTACCCTATTTATAAACTCTAAAATACATCTAATTAAAGAATAATTATCGACAATTTATAATTTTCGAATAACATCCAATATACCAGAGCACTCCACACGTACACTGTACACCTATAATTTTCTTTCTTTCTTTCTTTCTCCACATTAAATCACGCATACAAGTTTGACACGATATATGCAATAAAGAAGCGATTTTTGCATGCAAGGATGGGAGACGTAAATATGAGAAAGAAAAAGGACCGTTGAGCTATTCCGCAAGTAGTTGAGGAATTTAAAGGCTGCGTGCGTCTGTTTGTTATACGGTTGGGACATGGAGACGAACACGCTTTCACATAAAGGCAGCAAAAATTGAAAGAATAAAACAAGGACAAACAAAATAATGGCATTCAAATGCAAAAAAAAAGGCTGTGGTACGGATCATACATACCCATTTTTAGTCCACTCCAAACAGACAGAGAGAAATAAACAAGCACACACAGAGACCCAACGAAAGCAATAGAGATAATAAGTGCTTATGAAAAATGTAGCGAGTAACAGTTTGATTGACTCAGTTTACTTGACTAAATAGCTAAAACTTACAGATTCGAACGTGTTTGACTAAGTTTGACCATATTCAATTAAAGTTAAATTATACACAAGAACCATGTAGGATGACCAATGACGAGTTGGACTTCGAACTTCAATGTCGATCCATCAATGATTATTATTCTGTTGTTATAATCAATTATTATTTGAGCACTATTATATAATAATTATTTTCTTAAATTATATTTATTATTATTTTGTGATAATATTTTGTAAATTTGATAAATCTATTTTATAATAATATAATTACTTTTCACTTTATTTGCACCCACTACTTTTTTGTTCAAACAATAATTTACCTCTCCACTCGCACCCCACCAATTTGCACGCTCTTGCAATTTACTAATCAACTTGTACCCTTCTCGAATTTGCACCCTCCTTATTGCCAAACATAGTGCTAGGATAGAGACATATAATGTAAGTCTTTCATTCATCTCTTTGGTCAATGACTAGGGGATCTTTGTGGAGATGGTTAGTTTGGATCGAGTCTCTCGCTTTGAAAAAATCCTCAAAGAAGGATTACACTTGGCTCCTTAGATGAGATCCAATTCTCATAATCATTCTTTTACGATCCTATTTTCCCCCAACTTGTAGTCATTTGATTCTTGATCTTTGTCTTCAAAAGTCTTCTTCATCCATTGAAGATTAGATAGATAATATGATAATATGATAAAGATCAAGCCTACTTGGAATCTCATTGTCCAACCTCAACTTCTTTTCTGTAGAGATCCCTTGCCACTACATGTTGTCATCTTCCGAAATTGCTGGACGCAATCCGTCATTACTACACATTCTTGACAATCATCTCGGAGCCCCCTATTACGTAAATCGATTTCTTTTTTACAACTCGAATATTCGGATAATGATTCAAACCCACCATAATATTATTGAAGACGATAAAATCCGATGAAAAATTCACTACTAATGACTTTGTCACATCAACACCACCATATACCATACTTCCTCCCCCAAACAAGTTGACATATTAAAACAGAAAGAATGGAGTCGACTGGTTGCTCCTGCTAGCATTCAAGAAAAGCCTTTTGGGCAACAGCATGGGCTCATTAATCATTTTGTTATGGTCAAATTCTCCAGCTCCAACTTGCTTGCCAACTTCTTTCTTCCTTCGTATTCATCAATTCATTCATTGGAACAGCTCCCTCTTCACCCTCCCATCCTTCTTCTTGCCACCTTCCTGTTTGCTCCCTCTCTTCCCCCTTGTATTCTCCTGCCACGTGCCCAATCTCTACCATCCTCCCAAAAAGTCCAAACACCATTAAACTAAATATAACAGAAAAATAGGCAGAGAGAGGACTGAAATGGAAAGCTGAAATCCCCTTTCTCTACTCCTCAGTCAGTCTTCCAACATGAGCTGGATGCAGATTCCGTGTGTGGAGTGGATTTCAAGCTGGTTCCTTCAGGCAATTCCCCTTTCTACCCTTCCAAGCAAAACCCTATAAATGCCTCTCCTCCTTCCCCTCCCACTTCCTCTCCATAAAACCCTCCATTCCCAATTCCACTCAGAACCCGAAAATCAATCCTCAATCACTACCTTCTCTCCGTCTTATCCATTCCATCATCCATGGATATCTTCACCAATTCCCCAATTCTCCCCTTCTCCTTGTTCTTCGCCGCCGTCTTCGCATCGTGTCTCTTCATCCTCAGCCGCTTCTTCTCCAAGCGGGGGTCGCAGCAATTGCCTCTCCCGCCGGGATCCATGGGGTATCCGTACGTCGGAGAGACGTTTCAGATGTACTCGCAGGACCCCAATGTGTTCTTCACCTCGAAACAGAGCAAGTACGGTCCAATCTTCAAGACCCACATCTTGGGCTGCCCTTGCGTCATGATCTCCAGCCCTGAAGCTGCCAAATTCGTGCTGGTCACCAAATCGAACATATTCAAGCCAACATTCCCGGCCAGCAAAGAGCGGATGCTGGGGCGGCAGGCCATCTTCTTCCACCAGGGGGACTACCACTCCAAGCTCCGCAAGCTCGTCCTCCGAGCCTTCATGCCGCAATCGCTCCATTACATCGTTCCGCAAGTTGAATCCCTCGCCCTCCACGCCCTCCATTCCTGGGAAGCCACCCACGAAATCAATACCTACCTCGAAATGAAAACGGTAAAAAAAAAAACAGAGCACTCTGTTTTTCCCCCCTGTAAAAAAAACAGAGTCAGAGCACTCTGTAAAGGATTTGGGAGGCTAAATTTTTGTTCTTTTCTTGTGGGTTTTGCAGTACACGTTCAATGTGGCGCTGCTGTCGATATTTGGCAAGGATGGAGCTATGTACGGGGAGGAATTGAAGAGGTGTTATTATGTTTTGGAAAAGGGTTACAATTCGATGCCAGTGAACCTTCCAGGGACGCTTTTCCACAAGGCGATGAAGGCGAGGAAGGAGTTGGGTCGAATCGTGGCGAAAATCATGGCGATGAGGCGGGAGATGAAACATGACCACAACGACCTTCTGGGTTCTTTCATGGAAGACAAAGAACTCACCGACGAGCAAATCACCGATAACGTCATCGGAGTTATCTTCGCCGCCAGGGATACCACCGCCAGTGCTCTCACCTGGGTTCTCAAGTACCTACGAGACAACCCATCTGTTCTTCAAGCCGTCACTGTAAGTTTCTTTCTTTCTTCCAAAAGCCGAATCTTTTTGAATTAATATTCAATACAAAAGAAGGATGTATTTGCTGAAACTGATTCTAAACTTTTTTTTTTTAATTTTTGTTCTGGCAGGAAGAGCAAGAGGAGGTCGCCAAGCAGATGATTAGTAGGGGGAAAGGAGCTCTGAGTTGGGGAGACACAAAAATGATGCCAGTCACTTCAAGGGTGATTCAGGAGACACTCAGACTGGCTTCAATTCTTTCTTTCACTTTCAGAGAAGCTGTCGAAGATGTTGAGTATGAAGGTCAGTAGCAAGCAAGCAGACTGCTGGCTATTTTCTTTTGGCTTCAGTTTTCATCCGCTCAATTCAATTCAATTCAATTCAAACCCACTTCTGCTTGCAATGGAATGATGCTGATATTTTGTGTTCTGGTCTTGTTTGTTCTTTGGTCACTTTCAGGGTATCTAATCCCAAAAGGATGGAAAGTTTTACCACTTTTCAGGAACATTCACCACAACCCTGATATCTTCCCCGACCCTGAGAAATTTGACCCTTCCAGATTCGAGGTAAATCCTTTCTCTCATCACCACTATGAAACAGTAACAGTAACAGCATCAACAATCTCGATTTTAACCTTTTCTGCTCCATCCTCTTGATTGCCAATCAACAGGTGGCACCAAAGGCCAATACATTCATGCCATTTGGCAGCGGGACCCACGCGTGCCCTGGGAATGAGCTAGCTAAGGTGGAGATATTAGTGCTGCTTCACCACCTGACCACCAAGTACAGGTCGGTTTTTTTTTTGAAACCAAAAAACCCATAAAGAAAAGAAAAGAAAAAGAAAAGGAGCCCTGCTGCCTCTTCTTTTCTTCTGTTGCTTCCTTTTTCTTTTTGCTTGCCTATCCAAAAATAGCAAGTTGGGTAAGAAAGAGAGGAAGGCTGAGACTTGTTTTCTTGTGTTGCTGGCAGGTGGTCTATCGTGGGTGACAACAATGGAATTCAGTATGGTCCTTTTGCTCTTCCCCAGAACGGTCTGCCCATCAAACTTTCCCTCAAGAAATAATGAATTAACAGGCACTAGTTACACAGTAACAGCACACCAGCAACAGCAAGCCATAATCATCAATCCCATTTCATTTATGATATCCTGTCAACCACTACCCAGAGTGTCCTTTCCTTTCTATTAATGGGAATTGCCCAAAACAAGCACCCACATATATTGCATTTTGATTCATTGATTGGGGAAGAAAGGGACAGAATGAAGGAAGGAGGACAAGTGGCAAAGCTGCAGAGAGCCTCAGGCCACCACCATGGTCAGGCTGGCTGCCTGCCAAACAAGGATATATGAATACAGCTACTGTGGAAGAGAGAAAGAAGAAGGAAAGTTTTGCTTCAAAGGAAAGGGAAGACCCCAATTGTACAGCATGAAAAGGAGTCTTGATTCACTTTCCTTACTACTAAGACTACAGCAGAGCAAGAAGAGAGATCTGGCAAAGGACAAACAAGAGGAAGGAGTGGAATTCACTGAAGGAAGGCATCTTCAAATATCAATTTTGTTTCCTTTTGGGTAGTTTGCATGTTGTTAAGAAAGAAAAAGGACAAAGGAGACAGCAAGATGATTGATATGTGTCTCTGGCGATTTGGTTTCTTCTTTTTTTTTCCAAGTTTGTGGGCTTGAGCCGGTCATCCAAAATGTGGGGAGCCGATATTTTTGTAATTAGGAACATCTACCACCACGAGAAGGAACTACAGTTTGCCGTAAGGTCAAACTGTAAAATTGTTTTTAACATTTCATTGTTCAATAGTTTACCTTTTTCTTATTTGTTTCGATCTCGTTTTCCCTTATAAGTAATTGGGAGACGATCAAAATTTTAGTGTTGAAAGCAGTAAATTCGAGGGTGAAACAACGAATTATGCTAATTTTATGAAGATATTACGTTTTTTCACTTCATCTGGCAATCATCTTCATCTTTGTCATTTGACAATTGCCTTACTTTTCACTGAACAATACATATCACGAAGGTAATTTTGCATTGGACTACATGATCCATGAGGACCATGAATCTTTTATTCGTTATCATATCATAGACCTTCCTGATCCATCTCTCATCTACTTACCCGTAACAGAGAGTTTATACTAGATGTTTGATCCCAACTCATTAAGTCTCTATAATGTTGTCTATGAAAAAAATCAAATATTTACTATTTTCTGATTCAATTACCGTTTTACGATTAAATTTATGAGTAAAAATGCAAGGCATAACTATTAGTATTGTTGTACTTGACAAATGCAATGATTATATATTTTTTTACTTCAGTTATTAAAATTGTACATTTAGAATAAGTTGCATGGTATGCACTCATTTCAACGAGTACTACATAAGATCCAAATTAAACTTGTAAAATAGTTCTGAAGAGTTCGTTTTGATGAATCATTTGCATATACAGTGTTTTGAGGTATATACATTATTCGATAGTATTATATTTCTGATTCATAGTTTACCTTTTTTTTCCCCTCTTGCATCATATTTATTCCAGTCTAATTAACTATCACACCTGATGAACAACTAATACAACCTCCCAAAGGGCGCCACCTACACCTATTCCCACCCAGCTGACAATCATTTATATATACCAAGACTTAAGATAATAATAATTAATCATCTAATAAAACAAGATTACTCGAACTAATTTTATATAGAATAATGATTGTCAACCCTAATACTAGTTCAAGTTTTGATTTTGAATCAATCAATCTGGCCATCATCAAAATCTAACCATAGGTATAATAAACTATGTACGACTTCAAGGTCAGCCCATTTGCAAAATTCCATCATACAGATACTTTTTTTTTTATATACGAATACAAGTCAAACCCTATGCACATGTATGTAACACGAAATGAAGAAGCAATAAATTCAATTGAACACAAAATTAAAATCGCGTGAAGCAATAGTATAGTGCACGTACAGCTTTGCCCCACCTCACACATGCTATGTGACCAAAACTACTTGTGAATTGGGATGGAAAATGCTGATTGCGTGCTTCGTATCGTCTAACGCTAGACTCTTTTATTGATTCAAATTAGTAGAGAGATTGCGGTTCAACAATGAACTCCCTATAATCAACCTGCCATTTTCATTTCATCTTGCTTCCAACGATCGTGTACGTAGATATAACTAGACTGTAGTTAAAGAAGAACATAATCAATAAAGAGTATATATAATTCGAACCTAACATATATATATATATATATATATATATATATATATATATATATAAAATATATAACTTTTTCGCTCTATCGGTAAATTGATGTATTCCATAACTGGAAGTGAAATCTCATACCTTGCTGTTGGCACACAACCTTCTACTTTACACCTCTCAAATTTATAATCTTGTGAATTTGGCGCCGCTCAATTTAATTTACATTGTGAGTGCCGACCGAATAGAATATTGTTTAGCCTGTAGATCGAGTAATTAACTACTTTATCCATCCATTTTTAGATTGAGGTTGTATGTACCTAGTTAGTTGCCAATTAGTTAATTAATTAATATCGTTATTGATTGTTATTTCCAGATGTCAAACCAACAAGGGAAAATTGAATTAACATAATTCCATTAGGTTTGGTCGAAAATATTATAAGTCAAACCCTAATAATATCACAATTAATATATATTTTTTATTTATAACTAGATCACAAAGTATATCATATTAATTACAGCAATGGATCGTTTGGAAAATTGAAGTCTAGATCTCGACATTCTAAATAGTTCAAAACGGTAGAAATTCAGTGTTTTTATCTGTGATATATCATTCCTTTTTATTATTAGGTGTTACAGAAAGAATTTAAATCTAAAACATCCAAATTCAAGAACAACAATAGTACTTCTAAACTAAGTCGTTGTTGGCTACTCGTGTCCATTGTTACAGAAAGCTAATTTGCAGTCAACTTCCAACATTGACCCACAAATTCTATTCTTATCTTTGATTCTTCAGTCTTTAATTGCTAGCTATTAACTCAAATTAAACCTCACCCCCAAAGTCTGACTTTGGGGAACCATATAAACAAAGCACAAGTGTCCCCCTCTCTTTCCTTTATCCTCTCAAGTTAAAAACGGCCACGAAAATGGGCGCTTGACGAGAAGATAAGAGGAAGAAATGCATTGAAAAAATAGTTGGTGACAATTGAAGACACCACGATGAGCTGTACTTTTTATGGGTAAAGCTTCATCTCATCCCATGAAGTTGGTTTCCAATATGAGATGGTAATGTTCAGTTAAAACATTTTTCGTATTTATTTTTTTAAAACTCAAAATGTTGAGTAAGATGATACGGCATACGGGTATACTCATTTGTTCTTCAGAAAGTATGTAACTGAAATTTAATACAACACATCCACTTTTGACATTAAAAACTATAGTGTTCCCAACTCGCGGCTAAAACTCAACTTAATTTGAGATCGATCGACATGAATGTTGTAACCAAGTCTAATACTAGCTAGCTACCAACAAACTAATTTGTTTGATCGAGAAGGTGAACAATGTACGTGCACGACAAGTTCACAATTCACAAGAGATTTACGTCTTCCGTCAATTTGAGTTGTTTGGTGATGACCCGACTCCAGCTCGTATTATCGACGCGGTTAGAGCTAGTTTTTGACACATCAGGTAACAGGTGCATGCATTGAGAGAGATTGTTTTGTTGACATTGCTATTTCAAACCTAATCTATCACTTTTCAAACGTGTGTCGGTGTTGGCCTTCCACTCCATGAAGATGAATGTATATATGTTTACCATTGCAAGGAAAAGAGATAGATAGAGTAGACCAGACAACAGGCAAGTTCTGTTTTAACTTGTTTTCCTCTCTTGACCTGAACATGTATTACATAACATGGACGATTCAACCGAGCGAGAAAGCAAACAAAGTCAGAGGAGGATCTTTGATCATAAAATTCTGGGACACGTGCCTCTAGTTAAGCAGAGAGCTAGTTTAATTTGCAGCAGTAGTTTGCCTGTCGGTTGTCAGCCTTTTTCAAAGAAATGGACTTTGTCAAGAGTAATGACACAGAGACAGACGCAGTTGATGAGGTTGATTATTACATTACTGTTGTCCCCCCTGAGAGTGACTTCTCGTTGGATTACGAAACAACTAACTGAACCATCTTCGTCAAATGAAAGAAAGGATAAGCTAGCTAGCTAGCTGCTCCATGGATAAACGCACACGTGTTTCACATTCCTGTGTTTGGTTCTGTTCGCCGGCCGGACCTTCTATTCTATTTCTACCTGTTTGGTCCCTGGCTAGCTAGCTAACCAGTATTACGTACCAGACATGCTGATTGAGACCTCGTTTTAATTGCCTTTTACGTGCACTTTCGTGTTCTCAGTTGAATTCGTTGATGTCTGGCAACTTGCTGATTTCAGTGATACACAGACACAGTTGGCCGTTGGTCGGCACCAAGCAATGGATCAGATGTAAACTCTAGGGCGGGCGCTAGTTAGCTAGCTACGGAGAAGAATACTGACAGAGTGACAGTAGCTTTTCCCGTCAAAAAGTGGACAGTAAGTCAGTTAAGCATTATTGTCCAAAAAAACAGTCGGTTAAGCATTCATTGGATCAGCTACAAAGTACAAACAAGAAAAGCTGTGGCTTTCAATCTTCCTTCTACCTAAACTGGAAAGAGAGCTCGAGCAGAGGATGACGAAAAAAAAGGTCCTACCGGGAGTCGAACCCAGGTCGCTGGATTCAAAGTCCAGAGTGCTAACCACTACACCATAGAACCGAGCTGATGTCACTTTACTTTTAATAAATTATTTGTCCGAAATATAACAACCTGACAGGCCTTTCTTCACTCATCTGATTCAGTGGTCGAGGACTCGAGGTTGATTGAAATGGGAGCAACCTTCTCTTCCTTACCCATTCGATCGCCCCTCTTCACTTGCTCCTCTAAAATTGTTAAGGATCCAAAAATGGCATCATATTAAGTTATGAACAGTTTATCATTACTACTGTTAGCATTACAAAGAAAACAGTACTGGTGTTATTTCTTGGTATCCCTCCTGAAGGAGAACTGGCACAATGTGAGCCATAACACATGGTTGTATTTTCATGTTTTAGTGTTGAGTACTGTTGTTTAGTGTCGACAAGGTGAAATAAGTTACTAACTATACAAGAGAGAGTTGGTTGATCAACAAGAATATCTGACGCTGCTGAACTGCACTTTTGATGTAGGAGAAGTGTTAGGTTATGCAAACAGAGATCAATTTGGAACATCAACCCTAGCCAGTGCTGTGGGTTCACAGATTTGGAACACACATTTCAAGCGCAAGTTGATGCTAGCCAGTACAACCTGTGAGTAGCGTCACAGCGTAAGTAGCAAGTTGACTGGAACGATGAACTCCTGTTAAGAAGTTGGAACGGAACGGATCCCTGAAGGCTTCAGCAGACACTGCACCGCGGAAAACAACAGCTTCTCCAGCTGTAGATCAAAGCCATGCTTCTACGCTAAGCTGATTCACACTGATGCGAAAAAACTGGCCTGCAATTACAGAACATGTTTCTACCTCAACATGCTGTGATCAAACAACTGTACAAATTCAAAACTGCTGCATCAAGTGAAATTTTCCAGCAAGTATATCTCACTACACATTCCATCCGAACCATTGTATTTGAAGAGAGAAAAAAAAAATAAAAATAAAAAGAGTTGTACCTTCCCCACATCTACTGTGTCCAGAACTACCCTCTCGTCCTTTCACTCACTTTGGTTCTTCAGCAAAATCTTGGAATGGGCAGCGGCTTCATTGTAGAGTTGCTAGTAGAAATTACTCACTAATGTGTAAGATAGATCATGGCCCCAGAAAGTTTGAAACTCAGGTAAGTTGGACTTTTCCCCACCCCCAACCCCTTAGGGTTGCTCATTGCATTCACGACTATATTTTTCAATAATCCCCGTGATTTAAGTACTTGATCTCCTCTGAGTTTCTTGCCAACATCTGACATGACTATGTACCATTGCTCCTGAAAATAATGAAGTACACCAATTAAACATCCAAAACCGGAACACCAAATTCTTTACTTCTATTCCCTGCTGAATATCCACATCTCATGCTCCTAATCATTGAACCCTGAATTCTGCATGAACTCATGTTCTTTAAAGTTTAATCCATGACAGTCTTCTTGACACGGTTGAAGGAGCTAATTGCCCTTTTCTAACCTCGCAGCCAAAATGTTGGTTAGGCAGGGTAGCATCTTGGATTGCCTGAGTTAGTATTGTTGCAGCTTCAATAACTAAAGAACATCTGAAGTAAACATGAAAGGGAAATCTGAAAATTATCTGTGTAGATTGAAGACAAACCTTGAATTGCCTTGTAAGATTCACTAGGATGCAATGAGGTCTAGGGCCCTTGACCGAACCACTCCAATTAGGAGGTGAATATTTTTCAAGCCATGCATATTTAGAAACATCATACAACTCCAGCCCATTTCCTAAAAGCAGCGACATGCTGGAGCCTCTTCTTTTGTGTGTCATTTCTCGCCTCAGAGGCTTTCAAACTCTTGTAAAGATTCTTATGAAGCTTCAAGAACTCACATCTATACATCCATCTATCAGCATACATGTTCTGTTTTCTCATACAATCGACAATCTCCATCACTCTCTCAAAATACCCACCTCGAAGAAAGTTCAGAAGCAAACACTCATACATGTCCCTACACAAAGCTAAGTTACTCTTTTCCACGTTCCGCTTGATGTCCCCCCACAAAATGGTAATGTCCCGGTACATTCCTAGAGAAGAATACCCATGTACAAGATGCGCAAAAGTTTGTACTGTGGGTCGAATTTGCATGTGCCCCATTTTTCTGTATGTCTTCAGAGCATCTTCCATCATTTTAGCTTTGCAAAAGAAGTATATAGTAGAATTCAACTCATACACTGTAGGAGACATACCCTTTTCTTCACCTGCTTCTTGAAGCAAACACTCAGCCAGGCCTGATCTACATTTAGAAGATATATGTGCCAAATCAGATTTTTCAGATGCACAAGAGAATGCTACCACTTCATTAGAAGCATCTACAAGCCAGCCCAACTTCTGCATTCGCCTTAGCAACGCATTTCCCTGTTTCAACATCTGCTTCCCATAATATGCTTTTAAAAGTGTAATATATGTAGTCAAGCTCATTGACCGACCACCAAGTTTTTCCATGTCATCCAAGATGTCATGTGCAGTTTCCAGCCAGCCTACATGAACACAAGCTTCAATGACTTCGGAACATAAACTCGATCCTTCTTGTTTATGACAGTCTTCTTGAATGCTATGTAAAACCTCAGACAGCTCACTGATCCTACCATGCTTCCGACAACCACCAACAAGCTTCGCCATGGCTCTTTTCTTGAGAAGAATTTTACCATTCTTAAAATCAACAAGGTCTAGTTCAGTTTGTGACTGTAGGATAGAATCCTTCACCAATAGTTCAGGCAGGATCTGCATCTTCAAGCCAGACCTAATACTGTCAGAACCTATGGAAACAAGATGGGGCTTTTGCAATTCCCTTCTACATTTCTCATGAAGAGTAGCAGAAACCGGAGTAATGTGCATATCCAAGATGAGCTTAGCAGCAGCATCGATGTCATCAAACTTGAAGTGCAAGTTTAACAAACTATTACATAACTGCTGGTAGTGACAAAGAAAAGGAACTGGTAATCCATCAATATGATATTTAAGTTTCTTGATCTCGTCCCTCAGGCCATTCATTTCATGGATCTGGCCAATGAGAGTGATGGAGTGTGCATCAGCAGTAACCCCTATCTCTGCCATCAGCTCCATAACCTGTTGACCTTTTAGAGACGATTTAAACCTCACACAGCCGTCAAGAATAATGTTAAAAGTCATGGTGTCTGGTTTAACCAGTTTCACCTGTTGATATTTTTTAGCATTTGAATCAAGGAAACAATCACAAATCTGAATCAAGAAATTTGATGCGAGATAAGTCCCAGGGTCAGTCTTAACCATGTGGAAAAGAACCAACCACAACACATTCATTTGAGGCAGAATCCTTCTGTCCAGCATCAGTCTAAGAATCCCCGAGGCTGGAATGGGCATCTGCGCTCTCGCTAAGGAGAGTGAGAGCTTAGTAAGGATATCAACCTGCAGCAACTTTTTCGACTTCCCTTCGCAAATGAGGACAGCCAAATTATATGCTCTTTGCAACCAACAAGGATCGGCAGAGTATGATAACTCCGTGACCAACTTGCTGATTAGAGCATCTGGAGGAAATCCATACAGGCTTTTGAAGCCATTGAAATTCACCCAGGCTTCATCTAGTTGGTGGTCATTCAGAGCACTTTCCAGCTTCCTCAAGAGAACAGCACGAGGGGAAACTTCCCAAGATAGCCTTTCGTGTTGAGGAGCAGTACTGGAATAAGATTGGTAAGCCAAAAGCCGATACATGTGAAACTTGCTGAAACTTTTGTGAACGACAATATCTCGGCCATGATTTGAAACTGAGGCAACCTTCTGAACACTGGAAACCACACTCCAAACAAGAGAGCAGCTTTTGATAGCATGAAAAGGGAACATTTTTCCTTCTCTTCCCAAAATGAGAGCCATTCATCCCACATACCCTAACATCAACAACAACCAGCACAGCATTACGAAATGTGGGAGCCGAAGCAATCCCCGCGGCTGGCAAAAGATTCCGGCAAGGAAACAGGTGAAACCAATTGCCGAAGCTAATCAAACACTAGTGGAAACAGAAAAGGTGGGAGCTTTCGCCGTATCTTACTGCAGTTGAGAATCGGGTCTGCACTGAATAGATAGATATATCCACATACGATGATCAGAAAAGAGAAAATTTAGGGCACCTCGAAGGAAAAGAAACAGACTTCTTCTCTTGAAATCAATCACTCGTTACTTTCGCCTGGGAATGGCAAAAATATCCGTAACTGTGGATATCCACCCGAATCCGGTTTAATCGGGTAGGGTAAAACTCGAACCCAAAAGATATTTAGTGGGTACGAGTAAAACTCGAACCCGAATATTGTGGGTTATGGGTGGGTATGGATTTCTCACTATCCAACCCGAACCCGCCCGATTATACAAATGCATATGTATTTTCTCTAGATATAATCATTATTTTTCTCTAACATATTTTATATTTAGCATATAAGTATAATATTTTCATGAAATTGTGTTGTTTTAATTAATTTTTTTCATTCTAGTGAATTATTGTCGTACTTTTCCTCTTACGTAATGTGAGAATTCGTGTGAATGTTAACATATTGGTTGAAGTTATGAAGAAAAATGATTACCCATGGATAACCGTGGATACCCAAAACCCGAACGGGTATGGGCATGATTTTGATTTTCTACCTGTTTCACATGTGGGTATGGGTATGGGTATGGGTAAAACCCGACCTACTTTGGGTAGGGTTACGGATATGCACTATCCGCCCCGACCCGATCCATTGCCATCCCTACTTTCGCCTGAGGGGTCTTCTCTCTCTGGTATCCTACCTCTACCAGCCAACCCACTTTCCACCGTTCACAGCGTACCAGGAACGGCGTGAAGGGTTGGGGGCACTTTTCTCTTACAAACAGGATCGCAGAAGAAGAAAAGCCCACTACTTGTCCGCTACAATATTACTCTCAGTCTCAGACACCAGTCAACTGGCAAGCCGTCGGTGGCTTAATTGACAAACCCGACTTTGCTTAACCTGGATTAACAATTTAACAGCAGTTTATACTCCTCTAGTCCTCTTACCATAGTAAATTAACAAACGTATCTCTTTATTACATTCTAATTATCTGTTAATCAACCATTAAATGTGCTGCAAAATGACTCAAATGTCCTCGTTTAGTATTAATTTTCTTTATCATTTTTAATCATAATCCAATTAAAAATCATTTTAATCGCATACTTGCTTGCGGAAGCCCTTCCAATTCCCACCAATTCGTCTCAATCATCCGCCATAGTCGGGTGAGACGGCAGCGGCTGGAGGGGTCCATCGATCAACATTGGGGGAGACGGCGGGAGATATCTCAGAGCCGACTCCGCAGCCTCTTCTCTCTCCGCCTCTGCTTCCCACTCAATTTCAGTTGCCAATGGAATTCGTCAGATTGCAGCCGCCGCAAGCAGGGTGGAGACTTGCGGTGGGTGGAGGGGGTTTCAACGGTGGCGACGGATTTGATGGCGGAGGATTGAGGAATGCGATGGTACTTCCAAAATAGAGGACAATTGAAATGGGAATTGTCTTGTGATTAAGACAGAGCCTGAGAGCCGTACGCCACCGCAAGAGCAGAGCGACGGAGAGGACACCGTCGTCTCAAAGATCCCTATCTTTGTCTATTACTCATCCAATATTGCTGCTGCTGCGTGTATAAAAAGAGTGAAAGTAAAATGCTACCTCCATTATATGATAATGATGATGATGACAATGGTGATCAGCAGGAAGAAGCAGCAGCTGATGATCGCCACAATGATCATTACTCTCGCTATTATGGCACGGCGGTTAATCAGCGATGCACGGATCATCAACATCACCAACGCGCTGAATAGCAAGAAGATACTGATAGTCCATTGTAAAGCCCAAGACCACGACGTTGGTGCCGGCGCCATGAGCTCCGGCGAGGTCTACAGTTGGAGTTTCGAGGACGTCCGCGGCGTCCCGCGGGGACCTTACTGGTGCCGCCTCGCGTTGGATGACAAGCGTCTTCACTTTCTGGCCTACTTAGAGAGCGGATACGGTGTTGGGTACGCAGTCACGGGATACCAAGCCAATGAAACTGGGGTTTATGGCCCTGATGATGAGCATAATCAGTGGAAGCAAATTGATCAGTTCCATTGAAAAACCCCCCCATGGATCAATCAGTAGTAGGCCTTTCTTCTTCTATTCCTGATTTTGGTGGGTTTAAAATTTCAGCCAACTTTCTTTTTGTCATGCTATAAAAGCTGTTGTAACTCTTCTCGGCTTTCTAAAGTTGCTGTTGAAAAGAAGGGGGGGAGAGAAGCAAACTTCAGCTCTTTCCTTTTCTCTTCAAAAGAGGGAAACAACTAATCTCTGTCCCTGTTTCTTCGTTACAATGTTCCGTCTCAGAATCAGATACAGATCATGTGACCACCAAAAGGGTCACTTCTAACAAGCAAACTACTCTAGATTTTTTTCTCCCACGCCATTGAATTCGTCATATTGCAGACAACTTGATCGTTGACCCACTATTCAACAGCTACAAAGTTCAAAGATCAGCCATATTATCAACAAGTCATTACTCTCCCTCATTGCCTGGCTCATTCCCATCAGTCTTTGATGTTCACTCTACACACATATATAGACACTGCATCACATTTTAGCATTACTCAATGTTTCTATCCAAGAATAAACGCAGTTTGCCCAATCAACAATTCAACAGTGTTCTGAAACGATATATGGAACATCATAACCTTGTCCAAAAGGGTTATAGGGAAGAAGCGTAGAACCTTTACAAAATCTGAGCCCTAGGGACATCCTTGTTTGCTGCTTTTAATAGCTCGATACGATCTCGCGTAGTGCGATTCTGTTCTTCTGCCTGGTAAAAAGAAAACTGTCAGCAAAGATTTCATATTCGTATGCCTAGGAAACTGTTCTGCATGTGATCAATTGCCATCCAGAACAAGGCATGGGTGCATTCTAAAGCATCCTTAGAATGGAATTAAAACGACAATTAACAGCAAAGTTGATTAAAATTTAAAACTAGTCAGGAGGTGATATCCCCCCAATAGCTGTGGAAACAACATGAACTGCATGGGAACTTGTGGAGGAGAAAATTTTACTCCCTCCCTATTTGTTCCTCTTAAATTTTTTCCTCTTTTCCCAATCCAACATACAAAGCAGAAGATTATCTTTTGGAAGTTGAGGCTTATGATTCTGTGTGTAACAGGTACGAGTCATAGAGTTTAATGTCCTAATTAATTACTTAGACTAAGACCTGCAAAGCTGCTAGAGAGGCTGATACCAAAATACCAACCTTTTGCAGAATGACCGACAGGTATTGGATTTCCTCCTCTTTCGCATTTGACAAACTGGAAGAGACATCCATGACATTACTCCTGTGCAAAAGGCAATCCACTTCAACTAAACATCTAAAGCAGAAATACCATGTTACTTCTAATTCCTTATTGACGCTGATCAATTTTCAAAAATCTCGTCTGCTAATTTTATCATTCAAATTTTCAAAGTTTAAACAACACCTTCAGTCAAAATGTGTTTACAGGTTCACATAGCAGAGAATTGTGATTGCTTTGATAGTTGATACGGTGCATACTTATCTATGAACAAAGGGTCCAAAGTCTGTTCCTCCACGAGTTGCTCCGCGGCATCAAGAATGGACCCCACCTGTCAAAACAAGTAATCCTTACACGGTGAGAGAGGGAGGGGGAAGGGTTGACAAAAGCGAGCCTATTGAATCAAGAGCAGGAGGTTAAAAGAAGAGAATTATGAATCCAGCAACTGAATTCCAGTGCTTGATATAAAGCAATTAAGAATCCAAAGAAAACATAAGAGTAAAATGAAACTACAGAGAGGGAAAACGAAAACCACCCTTTGAATCTTTACAAAGAGAATGAGCTGCACATAATTGTTGAAGAGCTTGTAAATTGGAGTCTCCATTTAGAGAAGCCATTGAAAGAACTTTTACAACTAGAAAATGTGAATCAAGGTTTTCATAGGATGTTAATGCATTTAGCCATTTACATAGCACCAAAGCTTCACAAAGAGACTACGTTATCATTTTCCTATTCTTTGATCATGCTTTGTACACCAGTCAAAGTAGCATTCTCAAGCCATGCTAACCTCTTATCAAAATGAGAATCCGTTTGGGTAAAACTTATTTTAGTCAATCTCAGAAGCATAAATTAAATGCAGAACAAGATACATGCAGAGTGGGTTAATGACATCTACTATCTCGTCACAAATTAACACCTGAATCCAATGGGTTCTCGCTACCAGCTATTATCAAGAACGAGAGAAAAGAAACTGTACCTGCAACTGACTGCACAAATCGTGAAACTCGTTCTGTCAAAAGGGCAACAAAACCAACAATTATGCAAAGCCAACTAAACAAGAAAGATATGTTACAAATGTTTAAGGGCATGATTTGAACTATAATTCTTATAACTGACGTAAGACAGCGTCACCGCAGACCCAGTATCTAGACAAAACAGGACATTTCCCCCTTTTTTTCCTTGAAACTAAGGCAACCAGACTTCTTAACTGTTAGTTCCACGTCATAGTCTGTGAGTAGTAAGGCAGTCCAGAACATCATCACAACCTTTCTGATAGGAAAGAGAGATTACCTTTGTTCAACAACAAAACTCACAAAGAAGCTCGTGAAATTACAATTACTTACAGTTTTTTATAAGGTCCTGACAGTACAGTTAGTCAATATGCTGTCTGAAAGCTATAGTTATACTCCCATGAGTTATCAGTATTTTATAACTGCTTTGACTAACATAACAAGGTAATATTTTTCATTGATCAACAACACAAAGAGAACTAAATTCTCACTAGGAAACATGGCGCATAATCAAATTGTTGACAGTCCGGTATAACGCCTGTGAGTAAGAAGTAATCTGACTGAGTTATTTAAGGCCTCAACCACTGCATGCTAATGGTGCAAACTTAAGGAAGTAGTGAATGGAGAGCAAACCTCTATCCTTAGGTGCAAAGAGGCAATAACCTGCAAATTCAACACCATGCAAATGATTATTAGCACCAAAGTTCTATAAGCATACTCTGACTAGATCCAGCTATAACTCTACAGACAGTCTGCGTAGTATGCACACATTCATCGGTTGGTAATCACTTGGTTCAAGAACAGCAGAGTAACTCTGTAAGTAAGTTTGTCAAGAATTAATTTTACAGCACAGTGATCGGAAAATAAAAAGAGTAGACTGCGTACAAGAAGCATTATGACAAACCCTAGACCACACTTGTTCAGAAATTCCAACATCACAGTGACACGATTCTAGAAACACTGTTCACCGCTTGCTAGATGTAAGAAGTCAATTTTAGGGTTCCAAGAGGTAAGATCTTATTGCCAATGCTTCTGCTACAAACAACTCCGGAATGAGAAAACGCAGGAGATGAGCATAATGGAAGGGGAAGGAGACGAAGTACCTGAATGTACAATCTGCGGAGCAATTCCTGCTCTGGACGGCTAAACCTCGAGAAGGCTTTCAGAAATTCCTGCATGAATAAATACATCCACAAGATTTGCCCTTTCAATGCCAACCGCGAAGGGGAAGTGTTCCCTCAGCTTGTTGATGAAAAAAGAATCGAAATTTATTCGCATTGCCAAACTTCGAGTTAAAAAGGAGGGACGAACAGGACCTCATTAGAGCACCCAGTGAGGATAGAACGAATCGCAAGGCTGAAAGATTTCATGAGACCGGACTCCCTGGAACTTGAACCTTCCATCCTCCCAATTTCCCTTTTCTCCAGCATCCAGTGAGTGAAAGGAGACAAGACGACAGAGGCGAACAGGGGAAAGAGTGGGAAAACTGATTTGAGGTGTTTTTGGATTGTGATTTTGAACTTCTGCGTCCAGTGTGAAGTTGCTACCGGCGTCACTTAATTGTGGTAAAACGTCATTTAGGTCACGGAAAGACGGGAAAGTGTGGTTTATTTTCACAGCAAGTGGGTCGGTTTGGATGATGAATTTCAGAAATAAGACAATTAGATCCGATGCATAATTTTGAAATACTTGCTTCTCCTTATTAAATTAAATTGATGAAACACGAAGCGATTTAAATTGTCTCAACCTCATTGTCGCATCCATATTCTGTGTTATCGAGACAATTTGATTCAATTGTTGCACTTTAAACAATTAACCTAAATTGCTTCATCAAATTCCTTCATCAAATGATCTCGTAGATCCATTGGGATGTAGTGGTGATCAAGAGAGCAGCGGATGGACTCACAACCAAGAATCAAGATACACATTATGGATTGGGATTAACGTATAATATGGTTAGAACTAGCTATGTTCCCGGCCCGTCGGCCGGGTGAATTTTCTTTTCATTTATAATTTGAGTCTAATTTTATATTTAAGTATTATTAAATGTTTTCACAAATAATTATGATCTTTCGTGTGTTATCTCAATATAAATTCGGGATAGTTTGGATGAGGAATTCTAACGGATCAATTTGAATCAATTATTTCGTTTGGTCAAATTGATTTGTTTGGCATCACAAAATTTAAATGATGCTTGAGTAATTTCAAATTAACTCGTTTTGAGACAATTAAAATTGTCTGGGATGAGACCAGACAATTCGAGTTGACTCATTTTAAATGATTCATTTTGTAAAATGAGACAATTGAACAACTTGTCTCGTTTTTCAATTGATCATTCCAAACCACCCCTTCAAGAAAACATAATTCATTGTAAGCTAATTTTTTAGCTAAACATCTACAGCTAAATCAATAATTTGTAATACATTAAGTAAATAATACATTCAATTCTTAGTCGATCAATTTGACTCTTAGCTAAATATATTATCGGACCATATTAATAGTCGGAACATTCATTTAATGATGGTTGGATTCTTCAACATTCTTACACACGATTAGGTGTCAAATTTTTTTATAGACCTACTTATGATGGTAAGATTTACTAATCCCAACTTGTATTGTAAGTTATCTTAGCAACATAAATTGATCAATGATTATTGATGTTTGACGAACTTTTAAGTATAAACACTTTAATTCAATTATTGTATGCAATAACACCATAAAATTTTGATGAATGTAGAACATTGCGTTATTTGAACAATAAATTTATAATCATTGTAAATTAATTTTGAATTTTAAAATTTGATTGGTTATAGAAATTTTGTATTCCAAAACATATAAATGTACAGTTTAAACTCTGTTGATTATGCAGATTTATGACAAACCCCAAATGAAACTATGAAAGAAAGACGGTGAAAAGAGCATTTCACAATAAAAAGGCTGTAAACAAAAAAAAAACAGCGGAAGCCCAAACCGCAAAAGTCCAAAACCAAAGGGTTAAAACTTAAAAGGTAAAAGAAAAATGGAACAGAATTAGAGGAGAGATAAAGTAATGACGTGGAAGCATGAATGAGAAGATAATTTAAATTTCTAAACTGCAGTTTGGGAAAATGCTTATATGTATTTTTAGATAGTCACCAATTTATTTAACTGGTCGGTTTAATCTGGACGCGGTAATAGTGACAACTAAAACATCTCGATAATAAAAAACACATTCCTCAACAACGATTATAATCATATATATTCCAACCATTAAGCTTGCAAGAATACAATCAACGAAATTCAATGGTATGGAACTAATAAGTTTCACTGTCCTATAAAATATTCATCCAGAAGAAAAGTTTTCCTACTATCTTTAACTTGTATTCTTTCTGAAAGGAACACATGAATGCTAGACCTCGTAGGTGATCCCAACCTTGAGGAGGCTCTGCCGAGGAATCATGAAAACTTCATCAGGTTGCCTCACGCACCTGCTCAACCAGTTATACAAGCAACCCAACGTCATTTTCTTCATGTACAGCCTCCAATCTTTCCTCCCCTCCTCTCCGCCGGTGGCGGCGGCCGCCGTAATCTGGCTCTCCCCCAGCACATAAACAACCCCTCCAACCCTAATCGCCTCATCAACCATCCCAATATGCCTCCCAACCTCCATGGCTCCTTCTCCTTCGACGACTCCTTCATCAACATCATCTCTCACAGTACTGGTCTCGATGAACTCCTTCAACCTCCTCACCAACATCCCTTCAAACCCATCTTCCTTCTTCCTTGCATCCTTGTACCCATACCTCACCACGCACCGAAAGATCAGCTGCCTTTCCGACTTGAAGGCCTCCTCAAAGACAAACCTACAAGGCCGGCAAAAGTTGCAGCAATGAGAAATTACCATGACCAAGGTGAAAAAGAGAGCATTCATTTGACGTGCATTCATTTTACCTCTCCTCCAAGGGAACCCTGCTGATGGGCAAGAACTTGATGGAGATGAACACCAAGACCGAGTGAAGGACGGGTACTCTGGCTACATAGTGGGTGAATACAGGGGAAACGCCCTGAACCAGCTGGGTGTAGAACAGCCCCAATCCTCGAACGTGGAGGATTTTTGGATCTGTGACGATTCGCGCCAGCTGGTCGGGAGATACCTTGTTCTGAAGCTCGTAGCTGTACTTCTTGTGGTAGCCGTAGCTCCACACGAGCATGATCGAGACGAGGATGAGTGCGAAGGCCAGAGGAAGGTACCCGCCTTGGTCGAACTTGTAGAGGACAGAGGACAGGAAGGCGAGCTCGATGAGGCCGATGGTGAGGCAGTAGAGGAGTATCAGTGCGAAGTGGGTCTTCCATATCAGCACCATTATCAAGATTATGAAGCACGACGTGAGCACGAACACCATCGCTACCGCAATTCCTGCCAAAATTGCCAGCCAAAATTCGTGAATTGGACACACCTTAAACATAATTCTCGCTGTGTCACTGATCACGATTGTTATTATGCTCCCAAATTGTGTACATGGAGCTTGGTATACATAAATAGAGTTACGTACCATAGGCATTGCCAATCTTCACGGTGTTTTTGAAGCCAAGGGTAACCGCAACACAAGCCAGCATGAGGAAAGTGTTGATCTCTGGGATGTAAACCTGCCCTTCGTACTTGGCCGAGGTATGAACCACTTTCACCCTCGGGAAGCAACCCATCGCCATTGCTTGCTGCACGATCGAGAACGACGCCGATATGATCGCCTGGCTCGCTATCACCGCCGCCAGCACCGCCACCACGAACTGCGACCAGTACAACGGTTCTGCAAAAACCAAATCAAACATTGTGTACACTTTTGTTCAATGCACCATGCTCTATGTACTAATCAATTTCATCATCAGATTCATCTTAAAACGATAGGAGACAACGGAGTTTAAAACTAGAGCTAGTGACCTACTGCAATCAGGGATGGAGCTGTAGAAGACAGTGGCGACATCCTGAGGGTGGACACGCAGGTAAGAGCACTGTCCCAAATACGCCAGCAGTATCGACGGTATCAAAACAGAGCAGGCGCTGATTTGAATGGACCGGATATGAAAATGGCCCAAATCAGCAAACAGGGCCTCGGCCCCAGTCAAGCAGAGGACCACACCTCCCAGCGAAGCCCAAGCCCGCTTCCCGTTCCTCTCGAAGTAGCTGACGATGTACCACGGATTGAACCCTAGCGCGACCGCCGGATCGTACCTGACGAAGTTGTAGATCCCGATCGCCGCCAGGAAGAAGAACCAGAGGACGAGGAAAGGGGCGAACGTGTAGCCGACCTTATCGGTGCCGAATCTCTGGAACTGGAAGAGGAGGACGAGGATGGCGACGGAGATCCACATGACGGCGGCGTCGTCGAGGGCGGCGGTGGCCTGCTTGACGCCGCTGACGGCGGAGAGGACGGAGATGACCGGGGTGAGGATGCCGTCGCCGATTAGCATGGAGACGCCGAGCATTGTCATGAGGAGGAGGAGGCATTTTGTCGGCTTGCTGGTCTCGAGGGCGGATTTGAGGGTGGAAGCGCGCTGGTTGCGGCGGTTTGGGGTTGGGAGGTTGTAGTTGGAGACGTTCTGGTCTTCGATCTGGCGAGTTGGCGTGAGGTTGATCTTGGCGTGGCGGGAGAGGAGCGAGTACAGGGCGAATGTTCCTCCTGCGATTGGGAAGAGCGGGTAAGTGTAAGAATTAACAATAACCAGATTTACGTGATTTTCTCCATTATAATCATTCAGACTAGTCCATAGAAAGTTAAGTCTGTCGAGTCAATTTTATTATTGTTGTTTCATAAATTCAATAATGTCAGCATATACAATATGATATTCGTATTAAAAATTATTTGTGCTTACACAACATCAATTTGTAAGCTAAAAATCGATATCGAAATTTAACCTCCATCGGGTTCAATCAAAAGGGCAACCACCAGTATAAGAAGAAGAGTTTGGTCTAGAGTTTTGAATTGAAGGTTTAAGTTCAAATATCTTCAATAACCCCCAAATTATAAATGAAAAAAAAAACGAATCTATTACTCATGAATTCGATCATGCACGTTGTACCTTCGCCATTGTCGTTGGCAGAGAGGACGATGAGGACGTACTTGAGCAGAGGGATGAAGAGGATGGAGTAAATAATGAGGGACATCACTCCGAGGAGATCATCCATGTGCTTGATTCCGTCGGGGAAAATTCCAGGCAGAACATACAACGGCGACGTTCCCAGGTCACCGTACACCACTCCTATGCACTGAAACGCCAGCCTCATTATCGTCCCCCAGTCCGCCGCCCGGGCTGGAACGTCGCGGCCGCCGCTGGCCTCGATGTCGAACAAGTTTTTCGTCTTCGTCGGAAGGTGCTGCTCGTGCTGGCGGCTCGGCCTTGTACATTCATCATCAGAATCTATCATCGGCCTTGGTTCCGCCGTGGCTTCCGATCCTGTGTCCGAAAGAGGCAGCAGCGCCGTCGGCGGTTGCTCCTCCGCCATTGGGAGTGGAGATCGAAGGAAGCGACCGAGCGAGCGGGAAAAAAGAAAGACGCGGAAATTGTAGTAATTATCTTCTGTACTGAATAAGCCTAGTTAGCCACTCCGATGCATGCATTAAAATATATATGTAAAAAATAATATTATCTGAAATTCAAATATAGCTGTAATTTCCTTTCAAAAACAATTTGTTACTGTTATTATTTATTATTATATTATTCACTTATCTGTATCTCTACGTGGGATCTGATGCTAATTAAGTAATTATACTAGCCCATTCCGCGTATAATAAATTATTAACAACCATTTTCGAAGGTTTCTTGAGGACCGCATATGGAGAAGAAAAAATAAAGGAATTAATTTCATGTTCAACTATTTAAGATTGAACGACTTTGGTTCAACTGATCAGGATTATCTCTTCCCTATAAAAAAAAATTATATCGGGATTATGTCCTTACTTACCCATGTGTACTAATCCTGACTTTGAATATTTAAAAGAAAATTATCCACGAGTACCGGTATCTAAGTTTCTTCAGTTTTCTTGATACGGTAGTAAAAAAAAAGGTCCACGCAAGATTTTAAGCCCCAAAAGGAAAGTCAATATGGGTCAAGCACAAAGAAAGAGGAAGACAAGCATACATTATGATTATGGTAGTGATGCTGATAGGGTAAATTGCAACGTTGGTCACTGGAATTATTAAAAATATTAATGTTTGGTCACTAAAATTAGTTAAACGTTTCAAGTTTGGTCACTCTCCGTCAGTCTCCGTTAATTGAGTATGTTATCTACTGATGTGGCTAACAGAATCGCCTAATAAGTCTAATTTAACCCAAAAAATTTAAACCCAACCCGCCACATCATTATAATCACAACCCTAACCCAACCAGTAACCCAACCCGTGACCCGACAACTTTTTAGCTTATCTCCTACAATCACCCCACCCCTCACTTCCCTAACCCTCCATCGTCGGCGCCATATCTCCTACAATCCACCGCTGCAGGTCGCCGGAACCCTACACATATATGGAAAGAAACCCATATGCCCATATCACCATAAACACCAAATCAGACATGGCTCTGCCTTTTCCCCTCTACTCGGCTTCTAATTTCTTGTCTTCTTTTTTTCTACATCACATAATCTCAAGCCCAACAACCCTCATTCCGCCCGAAAGTCCTAGTTCTCCCGATTTTGAAAGACCCATCAACACCCCAATACTTCACCCACATCAACCAACGAACCCCACAAATCCAAGTGAAGTTAACCCCCGATCTCGCCGACCGATTCCTTAGATCGACTACGAACAAAACTACGATTCATCGTTCTACAACAAGGGAAGAGAAGGTGGAGAGGAGGCAGCCAATCGCTCATGTATCCGATGCTCTGCTCACAAGGGAATGGGTTGGCCGTCAGTCGGATGAGTCAACGGGGAAGAGAAAAAAGAAGCGGGTCAAGAAGAAAGGGTAGGGATGAGTTGGGTTGGGTTGTATGACATGGAGGGTTTATGACGTGGTAGGTGATGTGTCGAGTTAAAATTGGATGAATCAGTGTTTCTGTTAGCTATGTCAGCAAAATATTGACGGTGTTAACGGAGATTGACGGAGACTGACGGAGAGTGACTAAACTTGAAATGTGTAACTAATTTTAGTGACCATGAACGGAATTAACTATTTTTAGTAATTCTAGTGACCAACCTTGCAATTTACCCGATACTGATACAAGGAAAGAAAAAGAAGGCAGGAATCCATTGAGAGAAGGTTGCCCCTGTCAAAACGAGCACTGCTCCGCCACTGATTGCAGACCAAAAAAAACTGTGGGGAATGAACGAATCCATCCCACCTCAATCATGTACACTAATGGTAGTCAATTCCCTGTTTCTAGACCAGCCAAACCGAAAAACAAACTCGCTATACTCTCTGTCCACCACCAAAATACATAAAAACCTGTACCTGATCTTTAACCAACAAGCCACTCCCTCTCCATGGCGCGGCATGGCATTGAGCTCGCGTTTATCAGCACGTTCCTCCCCTGTTCTGCGCTGCGGTAGTTGAGTAGGCAATTCGAAATTCATTGCCCGTCATCGGTTCATAATTTGAGTAGTGCATGTACCAAGTGATCTTGAGCGAAGAAGACTACACCAGCATCTCAAACTCTCAGCCAAGCAAATCCTTAAACAAGTTGGGATTTTGGCTAGATGGGTTCACACCCATCTGCCTTACCAATGCATCCTTCTGCAAGGCGTCTTTTAGGTTTGGACCTTTACTGTTTTGGGTGGTCAGTTGTGAAGTTGGAATCCCTCCTCCTGAGGACGCGTCTGTTGTTGCAGATGACAAACCAGACACAAGATTATCGACATCGTCAATGCTCGAGAAATGATGCCCCCCTTGCTCGACAGTAGTAGCAGAGTCCCCGTAAAAGGCCATAGCATCTGGTCCTTTCGCGGCACTGACATCAACGTGATTTTTGGTAGATGAAGCTAGCTCAACCGAGTCGAGCAGCCCTTCCAACTGCTTAAATGGGTCAATCAATGGACCCGTGGTTGCTACAGTCATTTCGCCCAAGTCGAGCAAATCTGGAGGTGGTGGCTGCTGAACAGGAGCAGCCATCTTCTTAGCCGGCGCCTCAGCTGCATGGCCACCAGTTGGCTTGGCTGCAGTCTTGTGGCCGCCGCCTAAAGACGACTTCCTTTCTTGTTTCGATGAACCTCCAAACAGTGATGCTGCAAGCTTCTGCTTTTCTGGAGATATTTCTACTGCTTGCTGTGTCTTCCTTGTTGGTTCATAAGTAGTTTCGCGTCCTTTAGAAATAGCAGGAGTAACTGTTGTAGCTCCATCCGGTGGAGTCACCCCATTGATGGTATCTTGTGAAGCAGCAGCACTTGTGGAGGCTGAAGAAGAGGAGTAAGTTGGCCGACCCCACCTCTTTTGAACCCCATCAAGTCGTAACTTGACCTCTGCAGGTCCTGCATTGGATGAAGATGGAAGAGACACGGCTGCTTGAGTCCCCCTGTTGTAGGTCGGTTCAGGAACTGGAATGAGTTCATTGGATGATCCAATAGATACAGGAGGAGTTGTAAGGGGCACAGAGGGCTGCTTTGGAAGCTCATAGGCCTCAAACCTAAGGCCATGTGAAGGAGGAACTTCATGCAGGTCTTGGCTGTTCAAGTAACTGGCACTTGAAAACCCAGACCGTTCACTTTCTGGGATGTACGGTTGAGCTCCTTTTTCTATTGCACGTTCAACATGATCATTTAGGAAAGGAAGGTTCTTATCAATCTGCAAACAGAAGGAAAAGGTCTTAGTATAATACAATAAGCTGCAAACAGAAGGAAAAGGCTCGGGTCATTTTGTAAAAATTCAGCACTAGCAAAATTTTGGACATCTCATTCAGCTAAATCTCAAGGTATCACATTCCAGTCAACTGCAAAGAAGCTGGTTTAAAGAATGCTAAAAGTTCATAAAATATCAACGCAGTCCATCATGGACTGCTAAGAAAAAGACAGATGTCATTGAAAGCAAGCCAACGACCGTGGTGCGAGTTGGAAAAAGCATGGCGCTTAAAATATGATAGAAGCTCAGCAACATTTTACTCAAGGAACCTCCAGGAATATAGAATGCATAAATAACAAAGACAAGCTCTTCAATTCACCATTGAAAAACGTAGATGCTAGAAGAAACTAACCTCAATCTCTTTAGAACTTGCATCTGATGGCAAGATGTTTTCGACAGTTTGAGCATCCAAGGCAATGACAGCTTGAAGTTCATATGCACGCTGTTGCAAGTCAGTTGAGTGGGAAGCTGACAATTCTTCGATGAGGGTTTGGCACTGCATTCAATTATCTAAGAGTTAGGAATGGCAGAATAAACTTTTACTGATCCGGAGACAACCAAAAGATGTATAACAAATGGAAAGAAAAGGGCCAAAGTGTAACAGAAAGTCACTGGCAACATAGTAGAACTACCATAGAATAACCAACAGAAATGCTGACCGAGAAAAAAGGAAGCAATATTTTCCCTAGAAATATGTTTGATGTAAATGTGGAAGACAAAGTAGAGCACGAGTTGCATTTTGAGTTATCTTTACTTGTAAGAGGTCTATGTGGTCGGTCGTTTGGATGAGTGATTTGCAGGCAGATTGAGCTCAATTGATGGACTTTCCAAAATCACCCGTTTGGATAACAAAAAATGTGACCACGTCAAAAACACCCAAGATCAGGGATGGCAAAAATCTGTTTGAAAAGTGACAATTGAGAAAAAAAATTGGGGACCCACTATAAACAATTCACCCCCTTGAATCAATCATCCAAAAACAAGGACTTTGGAACCTACTCGTGTCTACAGTTAATCATTTTCAAATGTATCTGTCCATTTCTACCCAAAAAAAAAATATGTATCTGCCCATGTTTCAAAAAAAAAAATCAACATTCCCCCTACAATTCAAAGGTTTTCTGAATAAAATCAGATAATGGAATTGTCTTTCAAGTTCCGCTAAATTCATTAATTCAAAAGAATCCAATCCAAAAGCTACATAATGATGGCTAAGGAATGCTAAACAACCCTATTGAGCGCAGAAACTGCAATTCAACCTTCTTTGACCTGATTGCTTCCAAGCGACAATGAATTCACTAGAAGAACTAAGCATACTTCTATACGGCTCAATAGTCTAAATTTTAGAATCATGATGCAGTATAGGTTCAGTACAGCCAATACATGATTCCCTGTTAGACAAAAGTTTCTACTCTGGAAGCCAGCTAACAAATCAAATATGATGCAGAAGAGGGGTTCTAATACTCCTACCAGGGTGGAGAATAAGTAAGACTTCTGCAAGCAGTAAACAATTCAAGAAACTAATTGGAATATCATAAATAAGGTTGTGTGTGTGTGTGTGTGTGGGGGGGGGGGGGGGGGGGGGGGGGGGGGGGGGGGGGGGGGGGGGATGTAACTGGAAAGAAAATAATATAAAATAGTGGATTCCGCTACAGCATAAAAAAAAGGGTAGAAGAGACTACCTCAGGTAGTATGTCAACTGTTCTCCCAGCAGCCATCTCACAAGCATATATCTTCATAAGTGCCGTCACTGCATAAGCCTTCAGAAATGGAAGAAAATGTTAATTGCAGCAAGAATATTTGCTTGTATATTACTCTCATAACCACATAAGCAAACAAAACAATATTGAGGTATACAAACTTCTATAATTAGTGATATTAGCAGACTATGTAGAAAATGATTACTGACAAATAAGGATTAGACGAAAAGCTGAAGAAAGACCAGGTGCAGCACTACCACTGAGAAGATTGTTGTTCAGCCATGTTTTCTAGGATGGGTAAAGTCATAACTACAGAAACCTCGTCCTATAAAAAAGTGATGAACCCCTCATCGATTTATTCGGTGCCTCTGGAGAAACACTGAGGCTTAGAGAAAAAGTAAACTATTCATTAGCCATCAATCCTGCCCCTGGATTGGAGAGACAGCCCCCTTATTCCCAAAAAAGCCCATTTTCCATTATTTCATAGAATTTCCAGCAGCTATAAACAGAGCTCTATCGTACCTACATTCTCTCTGCCTAATAAACCCTAGGCACATCATGTTGCCTCCAGCCAAGAAGGCGTTTATAAAATGACTGATACCTTGACAGTTTCATCGTTTGAGTACGCCTCAGCCACATCACACAACTTCCCAGTAATATATGATGCAGAATACTTTCCATCGGCTGTTCCATATTCGCCCAATACCCAGCAAATAACCTGTAATGAGAATTCCGATAGTAGCAGGAGGTTTAATTCTGTATGTGGTAATAACAATTTAGAAAGAAAGTAAACTTAACTGGAAGCAGTCAACGTACTTGAAGAAAAACAGATGGCAGCTTTGGTGCTCCTATAATTCGCAAATACGAGTCCACCTGCAGGGAAAAGTGATGTTAGTCGATCACATAGAAAGCAGGTGCATCAATAATATGACAGCAACTGGTACTACAAAGGAACCCATAGTTTCTGAAAACTAAACATCAAGGAGAGATTTGGCCATTTCAAGTTGTATAACTATTATGAGATAGCATGTTGGAGAACTTGAATTTCGTCAACCTAATCTAGCCACTCACTTGAATAAGTTGTGAAAACTGCCCAACTACAGAAGTGCCAATCAATGTCCATAGTACACAAAGATCGCAAAATGCCAAAAAGTTTTACTTGCAGCTTTATTAGGGGTGAAAGGCCAGGTAACCATAATGGGCAGAGAAATACAATGTTACAGATCACTAATTTTTCTTTACATGTTCTTTTCAAACCGCCCACAGAAGACTGCAGTATTAATTCAAGCATTACAAAGATATATTTAGCATTTTTAACATCTGAAACTACACAGAACAAGTAAATCACTCAGAGGAGCAGTGTTACCCTAAAAAAATTTAACATCGCTCAGTCAGTGAAGAATACCCTACCAACACATAAATAGTTCATACGCAAATAACAGAACTTACAGCGGATGATCTCAGGTGAGTATATTCAGTATCATCATCTTCCCCAAATCCTTCTGCAATTAAGTGCATCAAGTTGTGGGCAACCTTAATGTTCACCAGATCTCCAGCATGTTCAAAGACTCTGTTCATGGTCTGTGCAGCTAGGTTCCATCAGTTGATAGAACAAAGATGCAGTGTGTAAAACCCAACCAACTTAGAGGAGATATTAAGAAGGAAAATACAATTAAACATTTACCTGAATAAACCACTGATTGCTAGGTGCAAATTGCTCTGCGAGTTCAACACATCGAGATACTATGTCAGTTTTGTAATGATTGTCATTTATGCTGATCATGTAATCAATCATGCGGTCAACAATGACTTCCACATTGGAGGACTTTGTCATCTTGTGCAGCAGCTCAAAGGTTTTCCGCTTTAGGGTATCATCTGGGTCCTGAGTATTGTACAATATACCGATTACATCCAAAACAGTAACAGATTAGCCATCATTATAAGCAGTCATTAAGATATGGATCAAGTAGGGTGTATCTGCCCAAAATCACCTATCCTTTAATCTTTCTTTCAACACTTGATATAAGTAATCAAGTTCAGTCCATTTCTATTGGTCAGGGTAGAGAGGAAAAAAATAACTCATGAATTCTTTGTGCATCAATTAAGATCACCATTACACAAAAAGCAACAGTTAAAACCTACACATCTACAAAAAGTTTGGTTCGTCACTAACAAAACAACCATGGGAGCCATGTTACTCTACCAACAACTAGTTCTCTAAAACTATGATGAACTTAACCATGTTTTTCTCTGAAAACAAAAAACAGTACTAGGAGAATGATCCTATTAAAGTACCGTATATTCATCGTCTTTCAAATTTCTCTTTGTTGCAAAAAAGACGATTGAAGAGCACCCAAGTTTGGTTCGTCACTAACAAAACAACCATGGGAGCCATGTTACTCTACCAACAACTAGTTCTCTAAAACTATGATGAACTTAACCATGTTTTTCTCTGAAAACAAAAAACAGTACTAGGAGAATGATCCTATTAAAGTACCGTATATTCATCGTCTTTCAAATTTCTCTTTGTTGCAAAAAAGACGATTGAAGAGCACCCAAGATCAATAGCACTCAAGCTGATCGATCCATTAGTGGCATACATAAAATAAGCATGTCAAAGGAAGAGTATCACCTCTAAGCAATCTATCACAGCAAGCTGGTGTTGTTCTGCTATCTCTGGACTCAATTTTATCAATCGCCCAAGTGCATCTATACCCAAATACTTCAGATTATGGCTGTCACTCTGTAAACAAAATTAACGTGGATATTAAACGAAGATTAAGAAAAACATTTCTACAGTCTAAGAAACCCCAACGTTTCAAAAAGGTGATCATCAGCGAATGAAAGATGTGGAACCTTTAAGAATCTTGCTATTACGTCAGCAGCGGATTCAAGCAACTTAGGATTAGGATGTATTGAAGATACACAGCAAACACATTGATAAAGGACAGCATTTCCTATGTTGCTTGAAGAATCGCACTTCCTGAATATGTCACCAACAACCATGTACATTTGCTCACTTGCTTGCTTGTCACCACTTCCAAGCAATCCCAGAATTTTTAGCAACCTTATCTGAAAAATTGGAGATTAATAATATAGCGATGAGAAATTAGCACTTCAGAGGAAGACATCACCTGACCTGTCCATATCAATAATTACTAGGATAAGAGCGTTTTATTGTTGAGTGTAGAATACTGGCATTTAAGTATGGCACATTACAACTTGGGGGGGGAGGTTACTCACAGGTAAGGCTACCAGTTCAAAAATCAGTGAATAGAATTTCACAATGCAGCAGAAGCATCACACATTCAGTGTTCATTGTTATGCATATCATCCAACAGAGTGGTGAGTCCTGGGACGTCGTCTTAATTCCATGAATTAAAACAAAAGTTCAACCAGAAGTCTCAATTCTACTAGCAGACTGTAGTGGCATAAAGGGTGAGAATAAGAGTATAACAAATTAAGTTCTTTACATGTTCAGATCATACCAGGCCTTTCCCTAATTCGATTTCTACTGTATTCGTTGTTTACAAAAGTCAATCTGTAACAATGCTTCCCACGATCAGGGAATTGTAGGTTTTATCAATACGAAGCGTCTATGTCAATAAACTGATAACATGTGGACACAGTCTAAATTCCAAGTCTATCCCAAAACAATTGCTGCCAATTGGAATGCACCCCCTGTGTGATTGGAATTATAACAATGGATTCCACAATCAAACTGCAATACTGCTATCCATATTGAATATCAACCACGTCTAATCCAGTAAAGGACGCACAGAACTCTTAGAAGTCTATCCCCTAGTTGTTACTCCACTCAAAGACTAATACTTAAGCAAGGATCCCCTGCTTAGTGGAATGCTTTCTGACCTACGCAGAAGTAAATCCCATCTGAAAGGAGATACATATCATTCAGCAGCTACCAATATGAAAAACAAATTTTGAGCCCTCTCTATTCCTTGTATAGAAAACAAAGCAGATTGGACGACCTGTATGAACGGAGCTGGGAGCTGATGATAATCGTAGGTCTTCGGCAATCTGTGTTCAGCTACTTGTTTAAGTATGCTGACAAAGCTGACCACCAAATCCTTGAACGAGCTAACATCTCTATTTACAAGATCCAGAAGCGGGCAAAGTGTCGCACCCATGACACCAGGATCATTATCACATAGCCTCTGCAGTAAAAAAACCTCGCATTATAATCACATTATTGGAACAAATAACTCCAAATGTATAGAGAACTGTTAAATATGACTTGAATGAATAAAGAAACCAAAAGGGGAATTCTTTGTGTACTTGTAAACCAAAGTTCACCGCAATTACTACATACTTAGAAATTCAACAATCTTGAATTAAATTTGTAAATGGAATGGCCATTCTTAATTTAAGTTTGATTCCTCGAAACTTTCAACAGAGTAGCCATTACATAGTCAGGGAGTATCTTCAGCCATGATGTAAACAGTAAACCTATTTGTCAAAACGAGCATGAATCCCCCAGACTCCACAAAGAGAAATTCCTTTCTTCTAAGGAATATAGGAAGATGGAGGTAATCAACCCACCTTGCGGAAGTTGGAGACGAGATGGGAAACAGACGAAGGAGACTTCTGGTGGAAGCGATGGAGAGCCATGATAGCCTTCTTTCTCACAGCCTCCTTCTGATGGCCCAACAGCTCCACCACCTGCGGCAAAACTGCAGGGATGGTTTCCTCGTTGATCAACTTACAGACCGCATTCAATGCAGCGCACACGATCAGAAAGTTATCAGATTTCAAATCCTTCTGAATGGTATTGACGATCAGGATGATCAAATCGTGATCTTCATTGAGAAAGAGAGTGACCGCCAGGTACCCGGTTCGCTTGAGGAACAAACTATCGTCATGAGTCATCTTCACGGCGTGGATGTACCCAAAAGAAGCGTCGTGGCCGAGCATCTCAATGTAGACCAACCGGATAATGTATTCCTTCATCTTGCGCTTGGGGATTCCAGGCTCCACGAGTCGCCGCTTGAGGGTTTCGATCTCGCCGAGGACTATACGGTCCTCCTCCGCCTTGGATCGGGCTTCACCGATTGACTTGACCAGATCGAGGAACTCCTTCGACTGGCCGATCCCGCCTTGGGAGCCCATGGCGAGCTCCCGCCCGATTGATTTGAGTTGCTCCAGCTTTGCTCAATCTGTTAATGCTTTTCCCGATTCAACAGAAGAGAGTTCGATGGAGAGAATTCTAGGGTTTTGGGGCGGAAAACAGATGCATTCAAAGGAATTCTGCAAATCTGTTTACCTTCCGCGAGAGTTGAGATTAACCGGAACTTCAATTCCGATCGGTTCAATGGGCACGGAAGAGTGTCTCTGAGCCGGTCAAGATCCTACTTCTCAAGGGTCAGAGGTACGAGAGACGGAGGAAAATATTTTACAGAGGATGGAGAAGGAAGAGAAAGGAAACATTTTGGAATTATCACATTCAATCCTTGTGCCAAACTTTCGCAACATTCAAATCCCGTGAACCTTGATTTTAACTTTTCAGTCCTTTGCCTTCTAAACAAAAATGATTGTAATGGTTTGGTAGGAGCTTTTTAGTTGTTTAAGAGGTCCAAGAGGCGTAATTCCGCGTACGCTTAAGCGATAGAAAATGACAAAATATCTCGTTTAAACTCTAAGTAAATACTAAATAACTAGGAGTTCATAATATTTTGGCGACGTTCATTTGAAATTAGACACCATTAATAAGCGCGAGGGGTGATTAATCGAAATGAGATGTATTTAAGCGAGTTGATTATATGTTCAATGGGTCATTCATTCTTCCTTCCTTGATTTGGAATTATCATTCTAAGTCAATGAGACATAACACTCATATATCATTAATTGCAACGACTTCTCCTTTTCGCTCTATCTCTTTCACCCTCTGTCCTGTTTTGCAACGTTGCGGACTTCAGTCGGCTCAAATCGTTTCCACTACTTTTTTATGTTGTCAATAGCAGAGCAACCACAACCCACCACTTTTTTGGTTCTTCTCTATAGGGGTGTAAGTTTGACCCTTAAAACCCACTGACCCGCCCCGACCCTCAGGGTTGGGCTGAGTCAGTTTGTCTATAGGGTCAATTTAGGGTCGGGTCACTTTTTGACCCTATGACCCTTAGCATCATACAAACATGTTGGACCTATTTGTAAAATTTTATAATTTTAGGTACCAAATTGTCAAACTTAAAATTTTGGGTACCAAAATGTAATTTTACCATCAAATTTTAGGGACTTATGTGTGAAAAAATTAAAATTTAGGTACTAAAATGTAAGAAAAAATAAATTCGGGTACCAAATTATAATTTTTAGAAAAGTATTCTATTTATTAAGGTCGACCCACTGACCCGACCCTTCCTGACCCGCCCCGACCCTAAAGGGTCAGACAGGGTCATAAAAAAAAGGATCGGTGCGGGTTTGTTATACATCTTGACCCTTCAGGGACGGGTCAGGATAGGATCAGGGGCGGGTCGGGCCATTTCAGCCCTACTTCTCTAGCTCCTGTCGTCCCGACCCTCTGCCTTGCTCTTCACCACCGCCGACTACAAAGCCGCTGCAACTTGAGAAACCAGCTAGTTTAGTGAACACAGACTTCACTTTTCTTCGACAAAGAAAGGGATGAGAGTGAAGATGAAATGATGTTGCCTATTTTTCAAGCTTCCAATCCGTTGTACAAAGAAAATGGTTAGTTAGTTTAAACAAGTACCCAATTCGTCGAGCCTAATAGTTTATTCGGCCCATGTGATGTACAGACTCGGCCCACACAAATTACTGGCTGGTTCAAATAAGTATTTCAAATGACCCACACTTCGGTCGTTTTATAGTTACACAAATCAGTAGGATGAAGTCATACTTTGAGAGTATATGACGCAAAAGAAAAAGGAACTCATGATGTACGAGGTGATCAGTTATAAGGTTGAGTTATCTGAAGATGTGTGACAAAAGAATATCTTAAAATTGAAATTAAGTATTCTAGGTTACTTAAAGTATTATGGTTGGATCGATCTAAAAAGATGCTCTTGCTACAAACTCGATCTTCCAAGCCAGTCTAAGCCGATGCAAACTTCTCTTCAACTCACCTCGTATGATTTTTCCATCACCGATGTTGCTCTCTCTGTTAGGAAGGGTCTCTTACCCTCTATTTCCGTACGACTAATACCCAAACTTATTTACATGTATTTATATTTATAATACGATGATATATTTATGCAATGAATTTTTTATAAAAAGTTATTAATACAAATACTTCGTCAATATCCAGTTAGTATATGTTGTTAGGGCTGGCAGTTCGATTTCCGGTTAGCGGATAATCGTCGGTTACAACCGAACCGACCGATTTTCGGTTAACCGAAAACCGAGACTAAAATTACTTCGGTCGGTGGACGGAGGAGAATAAAAAGCTTCAGATAACCGAGTAACCGACCATTATTAACCGCGGTTATCCGAAAAAACCGAACCAAACCGACCAACCCTCATATATTGCCCTCCCTGCAAAAAAAATGACATAAAACCCATAACCCCAATATGAAACCCTATAATCAGACCCTCATCAGATCCTCACCCTCACGAGTCACGGTCGCCGCCCAGCTCCCTTCCTTGTCGCCTCACGGCCGCCGCCTTCCTCCGTTCCTCACCGCCATGCAGATCCTTCCTCGTCGTGTCGCACCCATCCAGATCCCTTCCTCGCCGCTGCCCAGATCCCGTCCTCATCGCGTCGCCTCGCGCAGCCGTCTCCATCCTTCCTCTTTCCCGTCCATCCGTCGTCGCCGTCGCCGAGAAGATGAACCACAGCCGCGAAAGTGAGAAGGAAACAGAATCCTTTGTCCATGTCTCCATGAGTTCGGAGAAGAAGAGAATGGGAATTGAGTTTGGAGGTGGAGGGTTAGGCGGTTAGCAGAGGCAAGGGAGAGAGAGGGGGAGAAGAAGGGTCTTGGAGATGGAGGGTTAGCAGTAGGGGTGGACAACGGGACGGGACGGGATACCCGTCCCGTTTGAAACGGGTACCCAGTCCCATTTGAAGAGCAATCTCTATCCCATATCCCAAACCATATGGGTCAACGGGTACCGATTACCCATACGGGACGGATAACGGGTACCCGTACTACCCGTAAATACCCGTCCAATCCGGCCAGCTTCCACCTTAGGCCAAGTCCAATGCAAAACCGCAAATTTGGGGGCCTTGAACTCCAAATTTGGGGATTGAACCCCATTTTTCCTTCTTTTGCTCCAATGCAACAAACTTCATATTTGGGGTTCTTAATATTTCCAGTTTTTCCATTTATTTAAAAATATACTTATCGAAACTTTAATATAATTTATTCATGTTAATTTTTGTATAGTTCGTCATCATTTTTAAATACAAATTTTTCGATATAATTTTGTTAAATTTCGAGACCGAAATTTTTTTAGTGAAAAATTATGAACCTAATTTGGGTTTACACACAACACTTAAAAATGATAAAGCTTAATGAGTTGACATAATAATTCAAATGGTACAATTCATAGGTTACACACAACACTTGCTAATCATAAAGCTTAAATATTACACACAACACTTGCTAATCATAAAGTTTAAAAATAACACACAACACTTGAAATGATTAAAAAGAAACACATAACATGTCAATAATCACCTAGAAGGGAATAGTAATTCCCGTAATCTCCTCCACCTTCATCTCCTCCACCTTCATCTCCTCCTCCATTTCCATCTCCACCTCCAGTTTGACTTGCGTTGGATGAATAGTCGGGAACAGAGTTGGGATCATCTTGATCATACCCTAGGAGCATGTTTTGATGATTTTTGTAAAACTTCCTCTTTCTTGGTGTCAACTTTGACAAGTCCTTTTCAATAAGATCAAGATTGTTCCGAAATAATGCTGCTTCCCTCTCTTTTTTCTCAACTTCCCACTTTTCTTGGTCACGCTTTGATTTTTGTTCTTGGAATTCCATCCTTCTACGCTCATACTCAGTCCTCAAAGCATGCCTCTCCTTCAACTCACTTCCATACTCCAGCAATTGAGCAGTGTAGCTCTCTAATGACTCGACAACCCCCTTACCTTTCTTCTTAGCTGCCTTTTGTTTGTCGCGTCCAGCAGGGCGAGATATGACGAATGGTGGAGTTTCTTCGACGAACGGTGGAGTTTCTCCGACGAATGGTGGAGTTTCTTCGTCTCCTTCTGTCACTACAACAGATAGTACCTTCGGCAACGAAAAAATTCGTCGCTGAAACTCCAAAATCCGTCGCTGAAACATTCAGCGACGACCAAACTCGTCGCCAAATCCTTCCATCTTCCGTCGCCTATACCGCGTCACCCTAGCTTTTAGCGACGAAATTTTACGCTTCGTCGCCAAAAACCACCATTCGTCGCTGAAAAGTTAGGCTCAGCGATGACATTTTCGTCGCTAAACGCGGATTTGGCGACGAACAATTTTTATCGTCGCACAAGGGTGCCTCACTATTAGCTTTAGCGACGAACAATTCGTCGCTAAATAAGTTATTCAGCGACGAGTTTAGTCATCGCTGTACAAGTTCATCAGCGAGTCTTGGGTGACGAATTACATCGTCGCAAAAAATAGCTATGACCTTTTTAGCGACGAAATGATTCGACGCAAAAAACACAGATTTGGCAATTTTGTAATTCCGGCTGTTGTACCTTGTTTCCTTCTCAAACTGCTAATTCACTTTTTTTTTTTGTAGAAACTAATTCACATCTAAATATAAACACAACTGACGCTTTCTTATAAGAAGAGTAATAATTTAACAACGTTATTAATAGGAACATCCTTGTACATAAAACCATACATAATAGGTCACTAACCGAACATGTTTCCAACTATAACATTTACAATTTTTGAAAGTAGTATATACACCTAGGAAAACGAAAACAAGAACATTCATTGTTCATGCCCAAGGAATTCTGTGTCTAAAAAGCTAGAATTTACTCTAATATTGTAAGATAACATTCATTTTTTATTCTCAAACTAACCACAATCAACACCACGATCCATGCCAAAATATCCCAGCTGTTGGTCGCTGCTAATCCATGCCAAAGTATCCGAACGGTGGTCATTGCTGGTTCACATCACCTCCTGCTATGATTTGAAACAAGAGGTTCTCAAGATTAGAAAGAAGAGGTTAAATGGGAATGTCCAAGCTAACACATAAAAATCAAGAACCAAGTAAAATGCAGCAAGGAAAAGAAGAGAGAAAAGATGAAATGATTTAAATACAGAAGCTCAAAATAAACGTCCAGCAAAGCATTACAGTTCTATAGACAGAACATGTGATTATCTCGTAAGTAAATAAATCAAAGGCAGAAGTGTTGATGGCACAAGCAACCTATGTTTCATTTGTAATTGTATCACCCATCATATCCTTTGGATTTATCTTTTTCACAGTATGCAGCATACGCATTTCAGACATTAAAAGGCACTTGGATACTGGATAGATGTTAATTTAACTTTTCCACTCATCTACAAAAATATATACTATCTACCATCATTTTGTTTTCTCAAAATCCAATCTAAATCTACTTCATTTCCATGGGAGCTTATAAGCTTCTTGTTCTGTGTAGCCTTCTCGTCTTCATATTCCACTTAATTAATGAAAAGAAGCTAGCAATAGTTGCATTCATATGTAATGACATTTTTGTTAACAAACAAGAGCTTACTAGCTTTAGTGTGCTGCTGTATATTTGCTTCAGCAGCTGTCCACTCCTCTCCTACAATCCGCAAACTCCATCTTCAAATCCGTGGCCAGCCCGCTCGTCCCACCACCAAAGGGACAGCGCCCCGGTGGGGGAAGCTCCTGCGAGAATAACCCTGCTACTGCCCTCGCCGCCTCTTGCCTCACCTACACAACCCCATCCATAAACGTGAATGCCTCCGTCCAACCGCCTCTCATGAGCACCACGTGCCACAACACCCTCACCTCGTCCACCTCGAGTAGTGCTACTCTGCTTGCAGCTCCACGTCTAGATGTGGCGAGGGAGTGGGCAGGGTGTAGAGGCAGCAGTAAGGAAGGAAAGTGTGGACATGACCATTTTCCTTTGAACCAAATTCGGAAACTATGCTCCTAAGTAGTTGACTGACCACCATGCCTCCTCTGTCTTGGGACAACAATAGGAAGATTATCTAGTATCATGCACACCCATCTCTAAACTGTTAGCATGGTTATATAATGTTCATTTTCCTCCATAAAAGTTATCATATACTGGCAATTAACCCAAGATAAGGATGCTGAAATCAAAAGAGTGTTGCCCGACAAGCTATTTTGCAGGATTGCTCTTCCGTAATTTCAAACAGCGGTAGATTTTACAATTTACATAAGACCAAGGTAAACAAGGCCATTAGTTTCATAGTAATAGTATAATTGATTAGCAACAAATACGATAGAGGATAAGAGCTTACAGTATTTTGAAAGTTGTAGTCATAAGGGACTGTTTAGTCATAATGTAGCCCTATTGAGAGACACAAAGAAAATGGTAAGAGCCAAATATGGATCACCAGAACAAAAACTAAACAGGGTGAGGGTTAGAGCAACCAATTGCAGAACCTTCTTCCTTTCAATTAAAGCATGGAAGCAAAAAACAAAACAAGAAATAACCGAAGTAAACAATTAGTCAAGGGATGTGGCAGACAAAGGGGAAATCAACAACCAAAAGATCTGCAAAACAAAGGGTTAGCAACCAATTGCAAAATGAAATCAAAATACAAAGGAATGGTTGTCGAGCACTTTGCGCGTCTCTGTCGTAAGTGCTCCAATCTCATTGGCTTTCTTCACCCCTTCCTCGCTCTGAATCTGGCACGAAAAAAGCAGATCCTCCTCATAATTTCTCAAGCATACTATGCGGATCCCATAACCCGAAGCTCTCACCGCAGTTTGGACCGATTCCCGTATCCCTGCCAGCGAGAAGCGGTTGGACGAGACTACTTTCGCCATTTTGGGGGAATCGATCATCGAGAACAGAATCCCCTGGGAACCTAGATCCATGGTTGTCTTGCTCATTCTCGTCATCCGCCGCCTATACGTGAGTGATTTGGACTTATTGGCCAGTTCGTTGTCGACGGAGCAGGAACAGGAGCATGAGGAGTAGCAGAAGGAGTCGCCAGATGCGACAAAGAGGTAGCGAAGGAGGAGCCGCCGGTCAACTTGCGGGAGGCGATGCTGGTGGCTAGAGTTTTCCGATCCGCTCTTTAGCAAGATTGGGTCGTGAGATTTTTAGCTAGGGTTGTGGGTTTGGGGGAGAAGGAGAGGTGGGAAACGTTTAAGCTCCCATGGATAAGTCTAAAGAATAAATATCAGACTAATATTATTTTTCTTTTAGTTTTTTCGTGAATTTAGTTTGTAATTTTACATGGGAGATGCAAATGACGTCGTTTAGATCGGTAGAGAAAAATGGAATTATAGATTTTCTTTTTATTTTTACTTGATCCTTTTGCGACAGAGTTGTCGTCGCAATAAAATCCCGGGCTTCAGCGACGCCAATATCCGTCGCCGAATCATGTTAAAACTCCCAAAAAATTTTGCGCTGGCAGTTGCGCTTTTTGCGACGGTATCAATAAAACTCGTCGCAGAAGAGTACTTTCAGCGACGAATTTACTCCCTCACTGAAATTTTCGTCGCAAAAAGTTCTGTTTTTTGTAGTGTGTGTTATTGATGTCTGTCTGTGGTGTTGATTGATAACCAAGACCCATGAGAGAACCATCAGAACCTTGACTCATGCGGCTTTGATTTGGAGATGGCATTATTATCACGGTATGAAATTTTTGGCATCTTTTCAAGATCCACCAACAATGACCAAAATTCCACCCCTTTTCTCCGGTTTCGCTTAAATAGAGTTGTTCTGCCATATGCTCCTATACGTATAAATGAATGAGATGCAAAAAGAGTTAGAAAATAGAACACACGTACTAATGAACGAGGTAAAAAATAACAATGATGGTGACGGAGAATTCATACCACATCCATTTGATTCGTGCCACTTGGTTGATTCCTCTCTGCCCTTTGGATAGCTGAATTCCAACACTTGCAGTATTTAGTGATTGTGCCCATTCGATTAGCCATGCTTTTGATAGTACGAGATGTGTTTCGATCGTTCGATCGAAATTGCGTCGCCACTCTATCCCATAACCTTGTATCCCTTTGATTGGCACCCACAGCTCCATCTTCTGATATCATCACCCAAGAACTGCACAAGTTCTTATCTTCCTCCACTGTCCAATTCCCTTTTCTCTTGCTTGTCATTGTTTGGTTTTTAGAGAGACAAAGATGATAGAAAGAATGAGGGGACTAACAGAAAATTTCAATAAGAATGAATGGTAGAGAGAGAGGAGAGGATGTCTGAATATATAGAGAATTTATGACCGTTAGGTTATGACCGTTCGGATATAAACGTTAGGTAAGGTTGGTAGGTAGCACATGTTCGAATATGACCGTTAGGTAAGGTTGGTAGGTAGCACATGTTCGGATATGACCGTTAGGTAAGGTTGGTAGGTAGCACATGTTCGAATATGACCGTTAGGTAAGGTTGGTAGGTAGAACATGTTCGAATATAAATGCAAATCCCCCATTTACCATCAATTGTATACTTGTCTGAAACTTCCTCCAATTTCTAAAACAAACACATCCATCACGAGTTCCTCAGATTACTCATCGTCCGGAGGAGAACAAGAGATAGAAGAGTTGAATTTGTTTAACTATCATCGTTTGACTTTAATCGGGCGGAGGCTTGAGGAAGCTTCACGCTCACGTCGTCGTTCAACAAATCGCACCTACATTGATCTTGAAAGGGTCTCGGGTCATGACCGTCTTATGCAGGATTACTTCAATCCAAATCCAACATACGATGCCCGCATATTCAGAAGGCGTTTTCGTATGCAACCACGACTATTCAATCGCTTAATGGGTGACGTTGTGAGGTATGATCCCTCTTTTGCACGAAGGACTGATGTCGTTGGTCACCTAGGCCTATCGCCGGAGCAAAAGCTTACTAGTGCATTGCGCATGCTAGCTTATGGATCTCCAGCTGATCAACTTGATGACTACATGCGTATGGGTAAGAGCACTGTGCTTGAAGTCTTCAGGAAGTTTTGCAGAGCCATTGTCGGGATGTACTCATCGACATATCTTCGTGCACCAACTCCTGCTGATCTAAGGATTCTACTTCATAAAGCCTCGCAACGCGGATTCCCTGGTATGATTGGATCAATTGATTGCATGCACTGGGAGTGGAGGAACTGTCCTACTTCTTGGACTGGGCAGTACCTGGGGCACAACCGTAAACCAACAATCATTCTCGAGGCAGTGGCTTCGTACAACACCTGGATATGGCATGTTTTCTTCGGCCCGCCTGGTTCGAATAACGACATCAATGTTCTGGGGATGTCTCCAGTGTTTGACGGTGTCCTCAACGGATCCACCCCACGAGTACGATTTGAGGTAAACGGTCATACCTATGATCAATGTTATTATTTGGCTGATGGTATTTATCCTTCGTGGTCAACTTTAGTGAAAACATTCAGCAATCCAAGCTCAAACAAAGAAGCCTTGTTTGCTCGATGTCAAGAAGCACATCAGAAAGACGTAGAGCGGGCCTTTGGAATTCTTCAAGCTAGATGGGCAATCGTTCGTGGCCCTGCAAGATCTTGGGATGTTGCAACAATTAATGATATAATGTTGACATGCATTATATTGCACAACATGATAATCGAGGATGAGCAGGTTGATTCTGACGATGAGATGGAAGATAATCTTGATTATGAGGTCCACGATCAACAACCAACTAATGTCGATAGAGATATTCCAACCCTAACTGAGTACTTAGCTAGGAATAATTGGCTTCGTGCTGCACCAACACATCATGGGCTTCGTCGGGACTTGGTCGAACATATTTGGAACTTGCATGGAAATAATTAGTTATTGTTGTTGCTTGGTATCGATGCTGGGATGCTTTGTAATTCAATTAAAATTGTAGTTGGTGACAATTTATTTTGTAATTTACGAACGCATTTTCATTTCAATAATATAATTTCCATTCTTAGTTCGATCTAATTTTTGTTTACACATAACTTAAAGATGATAAGCATAAATTTTAAATAAAATGAATTCAATTTAAGTCATCTTAGAAAAAAAATCCTAAATACAAAAATATTAAACACAAATTAAATACAATCTCAAAAGCCTAAATACAAACATTAATTCCCTTTTCCCTAATTAATTACATTCCATTCCCTTAATCAATTTCCTTAAATAACTAATAAATAATTAACAAAAAAAGCTCATGCGTTGGAGCTCCAAAAATCGCATTAATTACATTAATTAATCCAATAAACAATTTCCTTTCTTCCTTTGATTAATCACATTAATTAGCAAGCAATTAATTACACCTTTCCTACCATTAATCACATTAATTGCGCGCGTGCCAACAATTCTTCCATTCCCCATAAATGCCGACCTCGGCATTCCCTCCCCCATATTTAGCGACCTAGATGCCGATGCCCTCCATAAATGCCGATTTTCGCCATTTTTCGTCTCTGCGTTGGAGCTCCAACATCGCCATTAATGGCGAGAACTCCATAAATGCAGGCTGCATTGGAGTCAGCCTTAGAGCTATATTGTTCAGAATTTATGAAACACATGGTGACTTCATTATATATTTTTCTGTGTCTGTGTGTCTCTTTACTATTTGCGTACTAATATGTAGAGCTTCTCCATTTCTTCTTTGATCTTTACCATTTGTACACCTAACATAGCTAACACAGCAAAAGAAATGAGTTATACCATTTTTGTATTTGTCACCAGCAACATGAAAGACGAAAACTGTGTTGATTACTACTAACTGGGTATCTGTATACAATATATACCCCTCCCCTTCTATAATGTATGAAGTTTGAAGTATGACTTCGTCTTCTTATATCAGAGAATGAAATTTGCTCGGCATGGGATTTGGCCGTTTGGGAAATTGAAGGGGAACAGGAGGTTGGTTGGGGGTTGGAGTGGGTTTGGGTTGTAGACTTTTGGACTAATGGGTATAACGGGTACCCGTAATATCCAAACGGGTATTAACGGGTAACCCGCGGGTACCCGAAGTAACTATTATTGATCCCAAGTCCCATTCCGTAAAAAAATTACGGGTATTTGGGTACCCGTAACCCTAAAAAAATGGGACGGGTACGGGTATAGGGGTGGGCGTTCGGTCGGTTCGGTTCAAACCGAACCGAACTTGTATATGCCGATTTTCCGAGATTATAGATGTCCCAACCGAATTCGAACCGAGTTATATTTCGGTTCGGTTTGCCCGAACCGAAATATAACTCGGTTCTGTTCGGTTTTTTTGTCAAAACCGAATTTATGCAGCTGAAGACTTCCCCTCTTTGCCTTCAGTCATTCACCCATTACCTCGCTCTCTCTCCTCTTTTTGCTCTTCTCCGCATTTTCTCCCTCTTTCCCATAAGCAGAGGCTGCAGAGCAACAAAGCCCAACCCTCCGTCCCTCCCTGCCTCTTCGAGTCTTCGTCATTCCCAGGCCCCAGCTCCCACAAAAACCAACCCTCCCCGACTCTTCGTTCTTACTTCTCCCCCAAATCGATTCGTCTCATCTCCCTCTATCCCCGACCATCGTCTCCACTCCCCGAATCCCCCAACCTCAACCATGCATCTCTTTTTTACCTTCGACAAAGATTAAAAAATCTCCCCCAATCACCCCCAATCTCATTGATTCTCTCTCACCGACTCACTGTCAGAGGCCACCGATGACATGCACCGCCGGGGTCAGCAGAGGTCACCGATGACACATGCACCGCCGGGGTCAGCAGAGGCCACCGATGACACATGCGCCGCCGCGGGAAGCAAGAACAGATCCGGACTCTCCTTCGATTCATCATTTGTTTTTGTTTTTGTTTGATTCTGATTTGTTCTGGGTTTGCTAATCTGAGGTTTTGTCTTTTTTGATTTGGTTGGTTTTGAGTGGTTCTCGAAGAATAAGAAGAAGATGGCGACGGCAAAGAGGCAGGGCAGGATGCTGGTTCTGGAAGAAGAAGAAGATGATGATGATTTTGGAATGGGCTAGGGTTTTAGTGGCAGAGAGTGGGCTTGGGTTGTGGGCTGTATGTGTGTGAGGGTGGGCTTGGGTTGTGGGCTGTATGTGTGAGGGTGGGCTTGTAAATGTGGGATGTGTGAGAGTGGGAGAGGAATTTCGGTTTGTTCGGTCGGAATTCGGAATTTCGGGTTCGGTTGGGCACACCCTGGTTTCCGAAGTATAGGGTTTTGCCTTCCGAATTCCGAACCGAATAACAACATTTCGGTTTCGGTTCGGTTTATTTCGGTTTCGGTTCGGGTTTACCGAACCGGTTGCCCACCCCTATACGGGTATACCCAAATACCCGTTTTCCGTTGCCCACCCCTAGTTAGCAGTTAGCAGAGGCAAGGGAGAGAGAGGGGAGAAGAAAAGACGTTTTCTTTTTGGTTGAGGAGAGAAGAAGAAAGAAGATAAGGTCGAAAATGTGTGGTGGTTCTTTTCTTCTATTTCTTTTTTATTTTTATTTTTTGTATTTAATTCGGCTAACCGTGGTTATAACCGATAACCGAACGGTCGGTTAGGTGGTGACCGTGTGAAACGCGTCGGTCGGTGGTCGGTAGTGTTAGGAGGTCGCTCGGTTTAACCGAAACCGACCGACTGACAGCCCTATATGTTGTCATAGAGTGATACTTATAAACCAAACATTGCATCATGCAACTTGATCAGGGAGAGGGCCCATGCTAGTTGTAAATTATTGCCAATTAATTTATACAACTAGGCTAGCCTAGTACAATTCAGGCCTTGATGTTTGCCTTTAAATTATATGTGATGGCGATGCAACCTTAGTATCAATGTATATCCTGTAACTCCGACCGGTTTCAGCTGGTCTTTATCATTAGATGTATTTCAATAAATTTCGATCAATTCAAATGGTTACTTGTTGTTTTTAATTAAACTCAACTTCGAGTTTGAATTTTGGAGAATCGGAGGCTGAAGTTTATCTATTATAAGTTAGGCTAGAGAATCAAACCCCCCAAAATCAATTTAATTGATTGTCTACACAGAGATATTTCATAAAAAAATACATGAAGTATCGTATATTACAAATAGTATAGCAGTCTGATCATCGAAGTAGAGTATACGCGGTTGAATCCATCTGGAGAAGTATGTTGCTGAACTCTATCCTTGAGCCAGCTCGAGGCCACAGCCATGATCTGATCTGAATATTCTGTTAGGGTTAGATGTTATAAAGTGACATGGTAGCAGACTAGAAGCCGACGAACTGGTTATTGGGATTGTTAGTTAGGTTCAGCAACAGAAGAACATAACAGCAGCCAGCAGGGAAGAAAAGAGACGTGCCGGTTCAGCATTTCGCCTTCGTTAGGCAGCCCATTTCGATAAGAAAATGACTGCCACGAAGAATTGGGCGGGCCCATTGCCAGTAAGTTTTGGTTGAGTACGCTACGCAACCCAACGATCGGATTGATCCATTTAAAAAAAGGCCCACAACTTGCCGCTTGAAAATTTTGGCCTTTTTCTAATCAATCTTCCTCTAAATTCCTTAATTGATTAATCTTCTGATTAGATTTCTCCTCGCGTCTATCTATCTTCTTATAATAAATAATTTTATTATATTACACAAGTCAAAATATTTCTCTTGACAGGGATTGACATGTCAGCAACTCCCACCGGTCTTTGTTGTTTTCTGTTACATTCGTCCTGTTTAGCAGCACCATTTTCAACCAACCTGAGTTAGGTTTAAGGCCATGAGCTTAGGTGAAGAAAAAATGTGATCTCGGGGAATATGGGGGGAGTTTCAACTAATATATGGAACATATTAGAGATGGCAAATGGATTGGATTGGTGTATTGGATTGGTGAATCCTCGGATTAAATGGATTGGATTTAATGGATTGGTGGATTCATGGATTGGATCAAGTGGATTGGTGGATTATCCATGAATCCAAATGACATCCTCAACCAAGGACCAATATGTAAAATGTAAAAAGTTTAGGTATTAAAATGTCATAATGAAAAATTTTAGGTACCAAAACGTAATTTCCCAATGATATTTTTCGTATAAAAAATTAAATTTTAGGTACCAAAATGTAAAAAATAAAAATTATAGGTACTAAACCGTAATTTGTCAATGATCCATGGATCCAATCCATGAATCCATCAATCCAATTGGATTTGGATAAAATGGATTGGATTTAAATGGATTGAATTAAGTGGATATTTTTAATGGATTGATGGATTGGATTGAAATTGCCACCTCTAAAACATATGGATGTTTAGTTTGTCTTTTCATCGATATTTAAACGAAATTTGACAATTGGAATTATGAAAAAAAAAACAATGTCAATAACGTATATACGAAGAAAATATATAAATAGTGTCAACAAATTTTATGAATGCTCGGTATCGTGAAGGTTTTACTTTATTGTCCAATAAGAGCAAGAACAATAGGTTTCAACATCTATACTAGCCTCTAACCTCTTCACATGGTTTAGAATGAAAATGACTTTGAAAGCATGGTTAAATGTGTTGCTAACATCCCCTATGAGGTTTTTTTTTATATAGTGTCATTCATCCCCTGCAGAGTGATTTATTTTGAGGAGATTCATCTTGTATAATGCTTTGGATACTCGTGAGGTGTTTCATTACACTCGCCATAAATGTCGCGGATTCTTAAGATATTGTGGAGCAAAGTTAGATATGTACAAAGCTTACGATCGAGCGAGATGTAGGTTTATCGAGCCTATCAAGCGAGTAATATGCTTTATAAAAACTTTGACAACTTTGGTAATGCAATATATTTCAGTGGTAATCCCAAATGGGTTGATCTAGTGGTAATGTGAGGACAAGAACATCCACCTCACCTAGGTCCTGACAAAAAAAATAGTGGTTAGGCATTCGATACTTGTGAGCGGTTAAGGCTGGAAATTTCGATAGCCTATTAGCGATCAGGCGACCACATTATATTTGCATTTGTAGATACTAAATAGTACTATTGCAAGTTCGCAACATGCATTCAAATAGATCTAATATCCTACAGTGATTCGACGTATAGTCACGCGATAAGATAATAGAAAAGGGAATAGGAATAGCACTTGCAGCTTGGAAATGAAGGATGGAAAGAAGAAATCATGATCATAATTGATAATCTAGAACTCACATCTTGATGCAAAAAGATACATTTGCTTTCAGTTTCGTGATAGCAAATTATCCTTCCATATGTAATATACTATCTACATTTTGACAAACACCCAAAATAATTAGTGGGATTCATACAAATTATTGGGAACGCAAAAAAATGTTAAAGACTTTTAGTCATCATTCTTATGACGTGAATCACACAAGTAGAGATTGTGCTGGGTATCTTTAATTTTCTTATTGATGTCCTTTCTTCTAATTGATGTCTGCTTTGGGACTCTAGCGATACTAAATTACTAATTCATAAAATGCATAATGACACGAACATGAATTTCCAAGTAAGTTAGAAGGAGTTGTAGGGGACAAAATTTAATGTGAAACCGCCCGAACAAGTTTACATAATTTATTATACAGTAACTTAGTTATTTATGTACATTTCATAAGAAATGTCTTTAAAGTAACTTGAATATGAGACTTTTCACAACAATTTTTTTTTTATGAAAACCACATGAGTATCAAGTATCAACCCAGTAGTATAAAAGGAGTTTTGGGCAATCAAGAATTTTACATTGAAAATGTCATAATTTTTCACTTTTAACGAGTGTCTAAAAAGATACCCACGAAAAGATTATACTGATTAATATTATTATTTATGTGTGTTTCTAGTAAGTTGGATATAATGTGTGTTAAACAAAGAGTCAAAGATACCACATGCTTTGGATTTATCTGTAAAAAAATAGAAGAGTAAAAAAATACCAACTTGGTATCCTGAAAAATCGTTAGTATTAGTATTACGAGTCTACGACTACAAGATAATCACTCAATCTTCTAAAAAGGAACATTTGGTAAGGCAATACACACCAATTACTGTGTAAATGATTTTGGAAAATAAATCTACTAAATAGTAAAACGTAATTGTTCCAGGCAGGCGATTAGGATAAGGAAATTGACTAATTACCATATTTGTGTTTTTTGAGGAAAAGGCAATTGACCCAACACCCTGTTAAAAGAAAAATTCGACGCACCGTCGTTTTCTCCCTACATTTGTTTATTACATTACTGATTTCTTACGAGAATAATATCAATTATGTATAGTAATAATAATCTAAAAAATGATACATAAAGTAATAATATAATGGAGAGACGGGAGTGGGCAGTATATAAAGCCGTGGTGGTGGTATTGGATTGGAGCGAATGAGTGTCGGCTCTTGGGTTCTCTGCATTCCTCCCTCCTAAAAACAAAACCACCAATCAAACAAAAGAACCCAAGCTGCTTGCTTCTGATCTCCTTCGAGGGAGGAAACCATAGAAAGGCCCGGCTTTTCCTTTCTATTGTGCCCTCCTCTCCTCCGCTGGCTGCTCAATGCCACCAAGCTAGCTGAGCAATCTTAAGAAGATAGAGCTCTCTCCCTCCAGCTGCTGCAACTCTGAACTGGGTTTCTCCTTTTGCCTTGCCGTTCTCCTTCCCCTGTCTCAAGATTCCTTCTTTTTCTTTCAGTCCAGGGTAACTCGAATTGCTTGCTTTTGCTCTACTACCCTTTTCTCCTTTCTCCCCACTTGCATTGCTTTTATCTCTATAGAAAAGTTCTGTTTCTCTTTTCAGTTTGCTTTGGGTGGAAGAATTTTTTGGGTGTGTGCGTGTTTTTGGGGATGGGGACTGTTCATTGAGCGGTGAGCAATATCAGAAAGAAACAGATGGGTTTGGAGGGAAAAAAGTGGGGAACTTTTTTGGGGATGTTTGGCAATGGGAATGTGATTACATTTGTCGAAAAAAGAAGGGGAAAAAACCCCATCATGTGATTACATCAGGGTATCTAATCTCCAAAGCTGCTTTGCCTAAACAATATAATCATGGATCTATAAACACTTGGCTGACTACCTGTATTTATTTTATTTTATATTCCCTGGGTGGGTTCTCTGTGGTTGCTACAATTGATTTCTCTTTTTTGGGTTCCTGCTCTCTCGTATTCTCTAGTTTTTAATGATTGTTTCACAGCTTAGCATCGGTGAAAGCACATTTATGTTGTCAGTGGACTATGTTTCTCCTTTGATGTAAGCACAAAAAAATAAAGAACTAAAATGTTCCTTCTTCACACAGTTAGTAATGTTTTGTTCCTCCCCCTTTCTTCTTCCTCATGTGCAGAATGGCAGAGACCAGATTGCTAGCAGCAGGCAAATGTTTGCTTCTCTTTGTATGTCTGGTTTTGCTGTCTGTGACCAGAACCGACGGCCTGTATGCTCCAATTACATATGTCACCAGTGGCGTGTCCAAAGGAGCTGGTGAGGGGTCTCTGTTCATTGCCGTTGGCATTCAAGTTTAATGTTTGCTGTTTTCGTTCATAAATTTGTCATCTTTGTTCATAATTCTTTGGCTTTTTCCCCCCAGTTTGCTTGGATGGAAGCCCACCAGCATACAATTTCGATAAAGGGTATGGAACGGGGATTAATAATTGGTTAGTTCAACTTGAGGTTAGTATTTCTGGTCACAGCTCCCACCTAATCATTTATTGAGACCACCAAACTGTAAGACCACAGCAATGAAGGGTCAATTTGGTACACAGTGATGGGGAAGTCTTGATTTTGATGTGTTATATGGGCACATGGGTTTGGATTGGTTGGCGAAAATATGACTAGACATTTTAAGCGTGATGTGTCTGTTATGGTTGATACTTCTGCACATGTATTACCCAATTTCATTTTGAGTGAATGCTGTGTTGCTGTGGAAATGTAGGGAGGAGGATGGTGCAACAATGTCACTTCGTGCCTTGCTCGTAAGAATACGCGTCTTGGTTCGTCTAAGCAAATGGGCAACCAGCTTGCTTTCTCAGGAATCATGAGCAATAGGCGTGAATTTAATCCAGGTAAAAAAAAATAAAATAAAACGAGTGACATTAATGGATGAAATCCTGCTTTGAACTTTTCTCTTACAGCTTTACTTGCTTGGTGTTCTTCTGGTATCTTGACTGTGAAGTTTCGATGCAATTTCCCCTTTTGTCTTAGATTTCTACAACTGGAACAGAGTTAAGATTAGATACTGTGATGGGTCTTCTTTCACTGGCGATGTAGAAGCAGTGGATCCTGTAAGCTGGTTTCCTATTTGTTTGTGTTTATGAGGAGCTTTCTTGAGATTTTTGCATTCTTAATAAGATAGTAATTTGATCAGGCTACTAATCTTCACTTCAGAGGAGCAAGGGTTTGGCTTGCTGTTATAGAAGAACTCCTTGCCAAAGGAATGAGAAATGCTGAAAATGTAAGACCAAAAGGTTGCTTGACTTTTTTCTGCTTGACTGTGAGAAGAATGTTGATGATGACTTACATGCACCCTTTCAAAAAAATGGCTGGTTTACAGGCTCTTCTGTCGGGCTGCTCAGCTGGCGGATTGGCCACCATTATGCACTGCGACAGCTTCAGAGCTCTGCTGCCTATGGGTACTAAAGTAAAATGCCTTTCAGATGCTGGTTATTTTATCAATGTGTAAGCTCATCAACAATTGCATAGCTCGTTACATCCAAACACTACAAGTACTGCAGAGAAATCTGTAACTATAACCCTATCACTGCGAAATGCTGAAGTATAGTGTTGCCTCGAAACAGGAAGGATATTGCAGGAGCGGCTCACATTCAAGCCTATTTCAGCCAAGTAGTTTCATTACATGTATGCTTATCTCTATCAGTTTTTCAGTCAACTGTGTCATTTTCAGGTTAGAGAAGATAATAATTTATGATTTAATAATTACATTGTTTTGCAGGGATCTGCAAAGAACTTGCCTTTGTCTTGCACTGGAAGTTTGTCACCATCACTGGCAAGTGTTCCTTTTGTTCTTGATTCCTTTCTTCACCATCACTTCGGAGTGTTCCTTTTGCACGTTTCTAAACACCTTTGTTTCCAATTGTATGCAGTGTTTCTTCCCTCAGAATGTAATACAGCAAGTGCGAACGCCAGTTTTTCTTCTGAATGCTGCATATGATTATTGGCAGGTCAGTCACCTTCAAATTAAACGTCAAAAGCTATCTATACCTTTGTGTCAAGGAAGCCTCTTGATCATATTGGTTTGCAATTATTTATGAATGTCGGGCATTACTTGACAGATAAGAAACATCTTGGCACCGGCTGATGCTGATCCAAGTGGCTCCTGGAATGCCTGCAAGCTTGACATCAGCAACTGCTCACCTCTTCAGATCAAAACAATGCAAGGTGTCTCTTTGAAGCATGCTGTTTAGCTTTCCTTTTAAGCACAGTTTTCAAAGGAAGTAGAGGATTATTGAACTGGGGGTTTGCCTCCCTTTATTTTGCAGCATTCAGGATGCAGTTCTTGAAGACATTAATGTCCAAATCAGGCAATTCAACAGCTAGGGGCCTATACATAGACTCCTGCTACGCACATTGCCAAACAGAGTTTCAGGAAACCTGGTACATGGCTGATTCACCTGTTCTTGGCAGAACGGTAAGTAAACCCATCACAGAAGCCTCTTAAGAAAGTTACCTGTATCCTATGTTCTAATTGTATTAACCCCTAAACACCGTCACCGAAATCCCTAATGTAGATTTACAAACAATGCAGAAAATAGCAACTGCAGTTGGAGAATGGTTTTTTGACAGGAGCCCATTCGCGAAGATCGATTGCCCTTACCCTTGCAATCCAACTTGCCACAATACTGCTAGTGGCGGCGGCGGTGGAACAAGTCCAGAGCAGCCCGATGTATAGCTTTTTTTCAATCTCCAAAATTCCTTCAGTTCCATACCATTCAACAACCTATATAATAGAGTAGGGTATAACTACAATAATGAGAGAGCATTTATATTCAGAGTAGCAGTAGAAAATAGAAGAAAGAAGAGGACCACAGCTAGCATTGCATTTGATTGATTTATTATCACAAAGCAGAGAGGAATGCATTTGGGTTTGGTTTGTTTGGAAGAAATGAAAAAAATAAGCAGCAGAGAGATTATAATTGAAATGCACCCATCAAGAAATTGTGGTGCATATGGCCTTTGGAAATTTATCTTTTCTATATTCACAACAGTATTCTTTGTAGCAGTTCTACTTGTACATCATCCAATCCATGATACTCCAATTCTTTGTTACACATTCCATATGCTACCCAGTTCTCTATACTTCCAACAAGGAAGGAAGAGAAAGAACCCAGAGCCGAAATTGAAACGAAATCGAACATACTCATCCCAGATTTGGTGTTTTCTGTGACAATCCCATCAAAACACCAAACAGAACAACCTTGAGAGGACAAACGAACAAAAGACCGAAAACGTTAAGATTAGAGCAGTAACACATGTATGTGGAAGAATTGTTTGCAAAAATTGGATGCTGAATTAGCGGTTTCTTTCCTCTTTACTGTTGGGTTTTGCAGAAGGGATCCGCCGCCACAGTTGCAGCAGCAGCGAGATTGCCTTTGTTGTTGGCATTGATCTCCATTTGGGCAATCATGAACCTGCTGTGATGCTGCGAGGGTCTCCTGATTGCTCAGCAGCCGAGATTCTCTGTTGCTTCGTTACGATGGAAGAATCTGCAAAGTGTAGAGATTGTTATTCCGCAAGATCAGATGGAGAACAGCAGTGCAATTACAGGGTTTTTAGTTTTGTTTTTGCATATATGGTGCTAAAGACATAGTCACACAGGAAGCTTTTACACGACAGGGAGGAACGCGTACACAGCTAGATCCAGCTGAAGTATAGGTGCATGTATATTACACAGTCACAGATCCATATAGGCATAGGAAGGAACGCGTACACAGGTAGTATTGTACAGATTGGTTTGTTCTGTTTTGGTTTTGGACAGACAGATGTACCCACCGACAATGGTGGACTTTTGTTTTGTGCATTGATTAGTCGGTCCCATACTACTGATTATAAAACTTTGGGGACCAATGCATGTATTTATCCTTAATCTATCATCATTTTACCACTTTCTCATGGGATTTTTTCTTGACAGATGCAATCGTTTTTTTGTTTGGTTTGGACTTAAAACAAATGAAGAATCGGTGATGAGCCATGTGTAAACCTCCAAGTATCCTACTGAGTTAGTCGTTAATGCATGCACCTATTTGATTATTGTAACTAGATCATCATCTGATGTAAAGTACTAAACATATTTACATCAGAGATATCCATCCTTCCTGTCTTGTTCTTCCGCATCCTTGTTTGCTGCTTCCACAGATTTGTACCACAACTCCACAAGAATGCCTGCGGTTTCCGTTCAACAAAGCAATAAGCACACAAAAACTACAGCGCAAAAGAGAGACAGAGACCCGAAGATGACAAAAAAGAGAAGCAATAAGCAGTTAAGCACACACTACTACTATACGTAAATGGCCAACTATAATACTCTTCATTCCGCCATTGTGCCTCTGCTCTGCTCGCAACATTATTATCCATCTCTGTGGCCCGTATATCAAATAATGGGCCGGATGGCCCAACGTGAACTTTTACGGTCCTAAAGTTTGAGTAGCCCGTTACTAAGGCCCACCTACACAATGTAAGCCATCTCAAGGCAAGCGGAAACAGATATAACACCAACTTCCAACGACTCTTCGATCATGGAGCAAGTCACCGTCGGTGTAATACGACCATCACCGGCCATCGTATATCGTCGACGTACACATCCTTTGCCAAAGTGCTGGAAATGCTGCAGCACCGTGATAAATAATATGTACAGGTAAATAAATGTTAATGGTCGGTGGATGAAAAAAAAAAGGCAGTTCGGGATAGGACGCCGGCATTTAGTTGGGATCCAACTAACCCAGCCGTGACCTACTTTCCGATTCGGTCAAGACTGTAGAGAACAGTGCCCATTCCACAACTTCCCCAGTCCTCATCTGTCCAATTGAATTCTCTGACACTGCTGTTTTCTCCCGTTCACGTACAGTGAATTTTCGAATCTTTTCATTTGGTTGTGTATTTGGTGGTATATCACTTGATATAACTTTTAACCCTAAAAATGCCTCAACAAACACCAATTCGAAGATCTCATCAATTCTTTGCTTTCTTCCAAGAAGTGCGCGCAGTACAGGATGGGATTAGGTACTAATCTTTATAGGGGTTAGCACCGTGATAACTAGCAAAAACGCTACTAAAAATAACGAAATCACTACGGATTATTATAAAATCAATACAACATCTAAGCTAAATCACTACTAATTCAAACTAGTAGACGGATTATTATAAAATCAATACAACATCTAAGCTAAATCACTACTAATTCAAACTAGTAGTAGTTTTTCCCTTAGTTAGAACAGTGCTAACTATTGTACAATTAGCACCGTAACCGCTCCCGCGCATTACTAGTTCCCAAAGCAACTCACTTAACAGTCAACAACAGAAATGGAGGTTCACCCATTCTTAGGCTCATCATTTATTATCCCACCAAAACCGTTACCAATACATATTACTACGAACCAAAACGGGCCAAATCACCCACCCAACTACACTCATTCATTGCACACTCTACACCCTCCCAACCATAATCTTCCCTCTCCATAATCCTTATATCTATTGCGATTCGCGAGCACTCCTTTGAATTGACCGTCTGTTGGACTTAGATTTACCCACACTCTCACAGAATCAAAGGAAAGGCCCGAAAATGTCGTCAGCTTCCACCGCCGTGATCTTCATCCTCATCACCACCACCACCACCACTCTCTTTTTCCTCCCAACCACCACCACCGCCGCCGCTCCGCCGCAGTCCTCCTTCAAGAAGATCTACGCCTTCGGGGACTCCTTCACCGACACGGGCAACACGAAGTCGGTGGGGCCCGGCGGAGGGTTCGGCCACGTGTCCAACCCGCCGTACGGCTCCACCTACTTCCACCGCCCGACCAACCGCTACTCCGACGGCCGCCTCGTCATCGACTTCGTCACCCAGTCCCTCTCCCTCCCGCTCCTCCCTCCCTACCGCTCGCTGCGGGACCCGCGAGCTGCCAGGAACGGAGTCAACTTCGCCGTCGGAGGGGCGACGGCGATCAAGCACGCTTTCTTCGCGAAGAACAACCTGACGCTGGACAACACCCCCGAGTCGATCCAGACCCAGCTCCGCTGGTTCGACGAGTTCCTGGCGAGCCAGGGTTGTAACGGAACAGCGTCGGCGTCGGCGGCGTGCGGAGCGGCGGTGGAGGATGCGCTGTTCTGGGTCGGGGAGATCGGAGTGAATGACTATGCCTATATTCTTGGATCTGAAATCTCCGGCGATGTGATTCAGAGACTTTCCGTTGCCACTGTTACCAACTTCCTGGAGGTACACTACCATTGATTACTACCACCGCCATATATTTATATGTTTAGTTACAGTTCCTTAGGTTTAGATTTTAATGGACTTCTACTCCATAGTTGAAATTGCCGATGAGAAGAATGATGCTCCTTTCCAAAGCTTCTTTTCTTCCACTCTATCTTGTCTTATGTCTAAAAAAAGGAAAATATTGGGTGGGAGCTAAAGAACCACAACACATAATTCATTCATTCTCGTGTTCATTGACGTTATTTGGTGATCATTCACGTGATTCGTACATATTCATGTAAGAGTTATAATTTATTTTTTTAAGCAAATGAAATCCCAAAGCTTCTCATATATTTTTTCTGGTAATAATTAATTTGTATTGGTCATATTTTATAGAATTAAATTTGATTTTTTTTTTGAAAAGGGAGTTGCATTCAGCATAATCTATTTGAAATGTTTCAAAATTGATTTTACAAAAACATGAATAAATTACAATAGGTATGAATAAACAAGAAACGGTGTGAATTACTATTACTATTTGCATAAATAGCCACCACCATTGCATGAATAAACACTAATATAAAGTGAATAAACACAAATTTAGACGAATACATGCAAAAATGTGTGAATTAAATCATTTAATTCAAATCTTCGTCAAACCTTTCATAACCAAATCAAAGACAAAACGTTGGAGATGAAATCATTTAATGGGTGTAGCCCTATGTATGCCCATTACCAACCTCCACATTGACTTTTCGGGGACCTTTTTGGGCCATCAAGTGGGCCGGGCTCATATCTCCTTGCTGGGCTTTGAATGAGAAACCATAATAACCCATCATCTTGTCTTTTTCCAATGTTTATTCAGCACGATTGATAGTCAACATATTTCTTCAACGATCTATAACGTAACCATGATCCACTGTTCCCCTATCTATCTATGCAGGCACTGCTGAAGAGGGGAGCGAAGAACATGGTGGTCCAGGGCCTTCCGCCGTCCGGATGCCTAACCCTAGCCATGTACCTAGCGCCCGAGGACGACCGCGACGAGCTGGGCTGCGTGAGGAGCGCCAACAACCAGACCAGCGTTCATAACTCCATATACCAGTCCAAACTCGACGGGCTCCGGGCCCGCTACCCGGAAGCCTCCATCGTGTACCTCGACTACTGGAATGCCTACCGGTCCGTGGTGCGTAACCCGGCGAAGTACGGGATGAAGGAGACCTTCAAGGCATGCTGCGGGTCCGGCGACCCGCCGTACAACTTCAACGTCTTCGCCACGTGCGGCACCCCCGGCGCGGCCGCCGTGTGCCCCGATCCGGCGCATTATATCAACTGGGACGGGGTGCATCTCACGGAAGGGATGTACAGGGTGCTGGCCGATATGTTCGTCAATGGCACTTTCAGTTCGCCGCGCTTTTCCACCCTGCTCGCTTAATTGAAATTACTTAATTAGGAAGTATTTCTTTTGGGTAATTTTGGGTTCTGTGATCTAGATATATATGATATAATAAGGTTGAAGGTAAGGTTGTTCGAGCTAGCGTTGTATAACGAAATTGGAATGGTAATTTGGATGGATATGTTGAACCATGTAGCTTCTTGGATTACCGATTCCTAGAATGAATAGTATCATGAAGCGGTCCACTTGATTTTCATCTCGTAATTCGTAGGTTTGAATGGCGAGGTTGAGACGGCCAGGAATCAAATCCAGCTAATTAATCCACTGTTGAAGTTCAATGTGGCTTAATTACAAGGCCATTGATGAACAGGTTGACAGATGGATGATGACAAGGGGGGAACTATAATGCAAATGGAAGATACAATTCTCATGGTCTCTCTTTTCCTGCCTAGATATATATCAATAACGACAAAGTTAGGTGCAAAACCTTGAATCTCAAACTCAAGAAACACTCCAGAGAAAACATGTCAAGTTTCTGTACAGCTAATTAATACAATCAAACAACGCCATTTTAGAAAAGACAACAAAAGAACTTTACGATGTAGGGCTGCAAATGAGTCGAGCTGAGCCGAGTTTTACCCCAGTTTGAGCTTGACTCGTTAACAAATGAGCTAAGCTCGAGCCCGAGCCATTTATTAACAAGCTGAGTCGAGTCGAGTTCAAGCTAGGCTTGTTTACTAAATTCTTAGATCGTATTTGATACATTCATTTTGTATGTCGTGTATGGTACATGTGATTGATATAGCGATAAAAAAATAATCAAATGTTCAACATTAATTAATCTTATTTTATAATTTTTAGGTGTCATATTGTTTAGCTAATAAATTTGAACTAGTTCAAATCATGTTATTTCATAGTATCGAAACAATTTTGTACATAATTTCTTTATAGAATTAAAAATAAGGCATATATTTTCTTACATGTTCAACATGTTAAACTTCACATGATGTGAGATATATAATTTAACAATCCTATGAATTATGAAAGTCCAAATTAGATCGATTAGTCCATAAGTCGGTGATCAAGTTGGCCCTCAAACCACAATGTTGAGAAATCTCATGAGCTTTAAATGAGCCAACTCACGAGTTGAGCTCAACAAGCCACCGAGTCGAGCTAGTTCGCGAGCTTCACGAGCTGAACAAAGCTAAGCTCAAGCTTGGCTCGTTAGTAAACGACGAGTTTCGAACGAGTTTTTCCCGATTCGAGCCTCGAGTTGCTCGCGAGTAGCTTGGCTCATTTGCAGCCCTATTTACGTGTAACTACAATATTACACGAGAAAAAACATGTTGAGTATCCATCCATTCAGATAACGAACAATAATATTCAAATCTCTTATGAAAATCACACCATGGAGGGAGTACCAGATTGAAGAACGAATAGCATACCCCACAGCTTAATACAACAATTCACAAATCGAGCAAATGTGTTAATTAGGTATTTCAACCCAATGAGAACATCAAAATTATTTTGACTAGTTGATAGGGTGCTAAAACATGAGAAGGCCTATTATAAGGTCAATCGATTACCTTCATGCCGATAATGTCGATCTTTTGATGCTTTGATCGACCTTCATAAGTCATATAGAAAAACAACTTCAACTTATTGTTATTGTAAATATCTTCAATTGTAACCAATGAATATGAATAATATTTGGTATCATAAAAGGGCAAATATCATAATGCTTTCAAAAGTAGGAAAAAGAGAGAAAAATTGAAGGGACAAGGTGGGGGGAAAGTGAGGTACAAATGAGTATATGAGTTATTTAGACATTTTTAGTAATTTGAGAACTGTGTGGCTTCTTTTTCCCATTGTTTCTGACCGCCTTTTTTTTTCTCTTTTTTTTTCTTCTTCTTTCTTCTTCTTGGTCTTCTGCTGTTGACGGACTCTCTCTCTGAGATCTCAAGCCTTCTGCTTCTCCTCTGATCTTCTTGCTTCTCACATCCTTTAAAGATCAAACGAACGAGATCGATGAATAGGCCCCACGGTGGGCGCCAATTGTTTGATCCTGCTAGCTCGAGGTATGAACAATAATGATTGTTGGTTTGGGGTCGACTCACAATCTGTTCGTCTGATCTCGTCGGGAGGGAGATAACCTGTGAAAGAGCCGGGGTTGCCCCCCGGATTAAGCTCCGACGAGCAAGTCAGTGTATGTTTGTGGAGAGAGTTGAGAGAATAGATAGAGAGATGAAGTGTAGAGAGATAGTAGAAAGTGGAAAGTGAGGAGAGAGAAGAGGTCCCCTTCCTTGGTGGGTTTCATACCTTTATATACTCGTAGCGGGTTTAGAGCGTCATCCGTTGTCGATTGGACGCGGTATTACTTAGTCTCTGCGGGGAGTCTCTTAGCAACACCCCCAACAATTGCCCCCCAAGCTGGTGGTGAATTTTAACTCATCACTAGCTTATATTTTATTTTTTAAATCTTCGTCGGTAATTTTGGGTGGGGCCCTATGTACCCCAATTGCCCCCCAGCTGGTGGCGCGTTTGACTGACGCGGTGCCAGCTTCTTGAGTTTTGCCCCCCATCAGCGCCATTAACGCTCATGGAAGTAAAATATTTCAAATTTAATAATGATAGGGTACTTAGCTTTATATTGGTACCGTGGCGGCAGGAGTAGTTGAAAATCAGACGCTGCGCCATTGAATCACTAAGCGCTATGCAGCCCACTGGTGATGTTGCTTGTCTAGCGGAGGAAGGACGTGAGTTCAATTCCTGTCAGCGGCAATAATATTTTTGACTCAGAGTGGAGCAAGGATGGACGGGGCGGACTGGTGACGCGGGCCGGACGCGAGTTGGGCTTGCGCGCGTCGCGGGCCGGGGGAAGATGTTGCGCGGGTTGGGCCGCGAGTTGGCTTGCGCGCGTCGAGTACTCGCGCGATTCGGGCCACTTGCGCGCGTCGCGGGCTGGGGGAAGATGCTGCGCGAGTGGGGCCGCGAGTTGGGCTTGCGGATGATGAAATAGAGCGCTCCGCCAAGTTTCTCACCAATTAATGTTGTGGCATACTGGTTAAGTCGCTTGTCTGATTGAGAATTAGTGTGGGTTCAATTCCCTGTGGGAGCATCATTTTTTTTTTTTTTAGATGAAGGCGGAGCGGACCGCGGCGTACTGTTGGGCCGCGAACGCGAGTGGGCTTGGTTGCCAACCGAATTTTTTTTTTGGTTAGTTCGAACTGAGTGGGCGCGAATAGTGAGGGACTATTGCTATTTTTTGTTTCGTGGAACTGAGTGGGCGCGAATAGTGCGGAACTATTGCTATTTTTTGTTCCGTGGAACTGAGTGGGCGCGAATAGCGCGGGACTATTGCTATTTTTTGTTCCGTGGAACTGAGTGGGCGCGAATAGTTCGTGACTATTGCGACTTTTTGTTCTTTCGAACTGAGTGGGCGCGAATAGTGCGGGACTATTGCTATTTTTTGTTCCGTAGAACTGAGTGGGCGCGAATAGTGCTGGACTATTGCTATTTTTTGTTCTTTCGAACTGAGTGGGCGCGAATGTTAAAATTCAGACGCCGCACCATTGGAACACAAGGCTCGCTTGTAGCCTGCTGGTGATGTTGCTTGCACGTGAGTGATTGAACACTGGTTCGAATCCCCCATCGAGCGCATAATTTTTGTGAAAGTGGGGCGGACACGGATCCGCGAGTTTGGGCCGCGACTTGGGCTTCATCTACGCGTGGAGTGTTGTTAAAATGAGAGTACTGTGCCAAAGGGTCACAAGTCGCGACTGTAGCCTGCGGGTAAGGATGCCTGTATTGTGGAGGAGTGGTGCGTGTTCGAAGGCTGGCGGCGACAACAATTTTTCTTTTTTGAAGCGAAGCGGAGCTTGGGCTTGGCGGGCCTTGAGGGGCGGATCTCGTAGAGGATGCGAGCCGCGAGTTGGGCCGCCTGCGAGTCGGGCCGCGAGTGTCGAGGCGGCGGAAGATGAACGCGGGCCGCGAGTTGGGGCGCCTGTCTTGTGGAGGAGTGGTGCGTGTTCGAAGGCTGGCGGCGACAACAATTTTTCTTTTTTGAAGCGAAGCGGAGCTTGGGCTTGGCGGGCCTTGAGGGGCGGATCTCGTAGAGGATGCGAGCCGCGAGTTGGGCCGCCTGCGAGTCGGGCCGCGAGTGTCGAGGCGGCGGAAGATGAACGCGGGCCACGAGTTGGGGCGCCTGCGAGTCGGGCCGCGAGTGTTGTGGGCCGCGAGTTGAAGTTGAGAAACTTTAAAATAGCGCGCTGCACCTTCAAATCACAAACAATGTTTGTAGCGTACTGGTATTGTTGTTTGACACGCAGAGGAGTGACGCGAGTTCGAACCCTCGCGGCGACAACAATTTTTCTTTTTTGAAGCGAAGCGGAGCTTGGGCTTGGCGGGCCTTGAGGGGCGGATCTCGTAGAGAATGCGAGCCGCGAGTTGGGCCGCCAGCGAGTCGGGCCGCGAGTGTCGAGGCGGCGGAAGTTGAACGCGGGCCGCGAGTTGGGGCGCCTGCGAGTCGGGCCGCGAGCTGAAGTTGAGAAACTTTAAAATAGCGCGCTGCACATTCGAATCACAAACAGGTTGTGGCGTACTGGTATTGTTGCTTGACACGCGGAGTAGTGACGCGAGTTCGATTCCTCGTTGCGTCAACAATTATTTTTGAAGACTTCCGTGCGTTGGGCTAGAAGCAGAGTGGGTCGCGCGCTGGTGGGCTGATTTGGACGCGGGTGAGTCGGACGGGCCGCGAGTTGGGCCTGATATGGGAAGGTGGGACGCGAGACAGTGCGCGACCGGTGATGAGGTGGCAGGCTGGGCAGGTGGTGCTAGTGGCGCGAGCATTGGGCCCCGTGCGTGCTTGGATCCGCTCTTGGCTAGTTAGAGTGAATTGGGCAGGTTGCAAGTGAATAGATAAAGAGCGCCGCGCTTTGGTACTAATGATTGCTCTTAGTCTGCTGGTTGACTTGCCCACCTTGTGGAGAAATGGCGCTGGTTCAAATATTGGCGACAGCACTATTTTTTTGAGTATTGTGGGGATTGACGAAGTGGGCCGTGACTCGGGCGCGGGCTGAAGGTGAAGCGTGCCGCGAGTTGTCTGTGGGCCAGGTGGGAGTCCTAGTGGTGCAGAAGTAGCTGTAACCCACTTTTTGGGGAAAAAGCCAGGTTGATATGACAATTCGTGATGAGAACTGTGTGGCTTCTTTTTCCCATTGTTTCTGACCGCCTTTTTTTTTTTTCTTCTTTCTTCTTCTTGGTCTTCTGCTGTTGACGGACTCTCTCTCTGAGATCTCAAGCCTTCTGCTTCTCCTCTGATCTTCTTGCTTCTCACATCCTTTAAAGATCAAACGAACGAGATCGATGAATAGGCCCCACGGTGGGCGCCAATTGTTTGATCCTGCTAGCTCGAGGTATGAACAATAATGATTGTTGGTTTGGGGTCGACTCACAATCTGTTCGTCTGATCTCGTCGGGAGGGAGATAACCTGTGAAAGAGCCGGGGTTGCCCCCCGGATTAAGCTCCGACGAGCAAGTCAGTGTATGTTTGTGGAGAGAGTTGAGAGAATAGATAGAGAGATGAAGTGTAGAGAGATAGTAGAAAGTGGAAAGTGAGGAGAGAGAAGAGGTCCCCTTCCTTGGTGGGTTTCATACCTTTATATACTCGTAGCGGGTTTAGAGCGTCATCCGTTGTCGATTGGACGCGGTATTACTTAGTCTCTGCGGGGAGTCTCTTAGCAACACCCCCAACAGATTACCCCCCAAGCTGGTGGTGAATTTTAACTCATCACTAGCTTATATTTTATTTTTTAAATCTTCGTCGGTAATTTTGGGTGGGGCCCTATGTACCCCAATTGCCCCCCAGCTGGTGGCGCGTTTGACTGACGCGGTGCCAGCTTCTTGAGTTTTGCCCCCCATCAGCGCCATTAACGCTCATGGAAGTAAAATATTTCAAATTTAATAATGATAGGGTACTTAGCTTTATATTGGTACCGTGGCGGCAGGAGTAGTTGAAAATCAGACGCTGCGCCATTGAATCACTAAGCGCTATGCAGCCCACTGGTGATGTTGCTTGTCTAGCGGAGGAAGGACGTGAGTTCAATTCCTGTCAGCGGCAATAATATTTTTGACTCAGAGTGGAGCAAGGATGGACGGGGCGGACTGGTGACGCGGGCCGGACGCGAGTTGGGCTTGCGCGCGTCGCGGGCCGGGGGAAGATGTTGCGCGGGTTGGGCCGCGAGTTGGCTTGCGCGCGTCGAGTACTCGCGCGATTCGGGCCACTTGCGCGCGTCGCGGGCTGGGGGAAGATGCTGCGCGAGTGGGGCCGCGAGTTGGGCTTGCGCGCGTCGAGTGCTCGCGCGAGTTGGGCTTGCGGATGATGAAATAGAGCGCTCCGCCAAGTTTCTCACCAATTAATGTTGTGGCATACTGGTTAAGTCGCTTGTCTGATTGAGAATTAGTGTGGGTTCAATTCCCTGTGGGAGCATCATTTTTTTTTTTTTTAGATGAAGGCGGAGCGGACCGCGGCGTACTGTTGGGCCGCGAACGCGAGTGGGCTTGGTTGCCAACCGAATTTTTTTTTTGGTTAGTTCGAACTGAGTGGGCGCGAATAGTGAGGGACTATTGCTATTTTTTGTTTCGTGGAACTGAGTGGGCGCGAATAGTGCGGAACTATTGCTATTTTTTGTTCCGTGGAACTGAGTGGGCGCGA